TTCTTCCTGCCTCAGAAGTCCTTCCTCACCCTGGACAGGCCTTGTTGAATGTCACTCCGTTGGCCTCAGCCCATGGGTCCAGCCTGTTTGGGTCCCTCTGCAGAGTCTTCCTACCCTCCAGCAGATCCACACTCCCACCCAGCTTACTGTCATCCACAAACATATGGAGGGTGTGCTCAATCTCATCATCCACACACCAGTAAAGACTGAACAGGACTGGCCCCAGCACTGAGCCCTGGGGAGCACCACTGGTGACCAGCCCCAGCTGGATGTACCTCCATTCCCCACCACCCTCTGGGCCAGTTTTGCACCCAGAAAAGACTGTACCTGTCCAGGCTGTGGCTGCCAGCTCCTCCAGGAGAATGCTGTGGGAGACAGTGGACAACATCCGTAGCCTTTCCCTTGTCCACTAGGTAGGTCACCTGGCCAGAGGAGAACAGGTTGGTCAGGCAGGACGTGCCTCTCCTAACCCCACACTGGCCTGAGCCCCTGGTTGTGCTGTTCGTGCTGCTGTGGACCAAAGAAGAGCTTTAGCTATTTGGGACCAAAAGCACTGCCCAGCCTGGAGGGCTTTGTTTCTGTCATCCAGGCTTTGCAGCAAACATGCCATGGGTCTCAGTAGATCCGTCACCTAATGATCACTTAAAGCTGGAGGAGAACACTCCCATCCTTCTGGCTGACCCACAGAGGTCAAGGTGTCCTGGACCCTGCACAACCTGAGCCTCTGGCCGAGTGGGAGGTGCTCGGGGGTGACTGCAGAGAAGCTGTTCAGCATCACTCTAGAAATGGCACTGCTGCCTGGGCTGGCGCCCAAGGCACTGTCTGGGGGCTGGCAGGACCTCAGAGACACTGGTGCTTGCTCACTGTAAAACACAAGTGTGGAAAATTTCTTACTAGTTTAGAAATGAATCTGAAGAGCCTGGAAAGGAGTTTGTCCTTCTGTTAAATTGCTACATTTGCCTTTCAGGACTTGTATCCAGCAAAGCCTGGCAGGGGCAGGAGTGTGGGGACAGACCCATCCCTGCCTGGGGCAGGGCCCCTCTCCCAGCTGAGTGCTGCCAAACACCAGTACTGACCTGTTCCTGTTGCTCTTTGCACAGGTTTTCACACAGTCGGAACCACCTGAGCTCCGCCCGCTGACACCCACGTTCCCTGCTGCTGCTGCCAGGGGGGAAGGATTTCTCCAGCTTCATAGGAACTACATCTCTAATCCAGACCACCATCTGCGTTGGATGTGACATTGTGTGACGGACTCCAGGACATTTCAGAGCCTTCGTGTTCACCGTGTTTCCATGATAACCCAGGGTGGGGTTTGCGATGCAAGTACAATTCAGACCTTTTGCAGAACCCGAGATGGGTGGTCTGATTGTTTTTACAAGGTAATCAATGCAGTTTTTAATTGTTTCCCTATGGATGTGTCCATTTTGGCTTGGTTTGATTCACAGCTTGTTCCTGGTAAATGCCTGGAATGAAGGAGTTCCTCCTCCACTGAGAAATGTTTCACAGGCGAGTCTGATGGGTTTAGCCTCCTGCCCTTCCTACAGAAGTGTTTGTGAGCAGTTGTGTGTGAGTGCAGGGGTGCTGGGAGGCTCTCCATGCATTAGGGCCTCTCAGAAGTGAGAGCAGCTCTCCAGTGGTGCTGGAGATCACTCCACCACCTTCACACACACGTAAGAAACACTTTCCAGGGCAGCAGCAGCTGAGCTGACACTGCTGCTCTTTCCCAGCCTGTCATTTCACAGGAGGATGACTTTGCTGACTGTACTTTTTTTTGTCTCTGGGACATCATTTTGTATTAGGCCTTGGTTCATCTACTTCAGGCAACAGCAGAACTTGCCTTGGCTCTCCAGGGACTGGAAGGCAAAGTGGGTACGTTTGCTGTGGGAACTCATGGAGTTCCTGCCCTCGGTGCTTTTGGCAGCTGAAGCAACCAGACAGGCAGGCTGTGCTGAGCTCTGAGCTGAGCAGACATCCCGGGGCAGGAGGGGTAACAGAGGGGTGGGGAACACCAAACGCACTTGCGGGGCCTCAGCTCACAAGGCAGAGGGACACTGCAGCACTTGGGGCAATGACTGTCCTCTGCAGGAGGCCTAAACCAGATGACTTACGGCAGAGGGGGCTGTGGTGGCACTGGGGCTTCCCACAAGCTGCTCTAGGCCTCTCTCCCCTTCTCAGCCTTCCCTTTCTGGCCCCTGGGATCAAAACTTGCTGCAGCCAGGGCTCTGCTCCAGCGAGCCAGGCTGGTGTTGGTAGCAGAAAAATTGAACCATCTACTTCCCTGTCATGGCTGCTTAAGGTATTCCAGCAAGAGCCATCCCCAAGGAGCTTTGCTTTCTGTATCATACTAGTTTATAAAGTAAATCTGTAGTTCAGGTAAGCACACAGACCTTAAATCTAGAGGTTAAAGGTCTAGGAACACAGGAAATAACTCCTGGCAGTGGTTGCTTAGGGAGCTGCTCTAGTTGTGGAGATTCCCACAAAGTCAGCACGGCCTTGGCTGTCTGGGTCTGTGTGAGTGTGTGTGGATGATGTGGCTCACCTGGAGCTGCTGAGAGCAAAGGCTGGAGCTGTTCAGCATTTTTTTTTAGACAGGCCCCGTGGTTAGAAACAAGGCTTGATTTCTGGTACTTGGGCTCAGAGCTGCAGGCTGTGAGTGGCTGCCCCTGGCTCAGGACTGCGCACTCACTCCCTCGTCCCGGGGTGTGGTGTTCCCTGTGGCTTACGACTATCCTTCATTCTTCCTGATGGATAAATCCAGGCTCAGCAACACTCTGAACTTGTCCCATGGAGAACAGGTGCTGCTCCTGGAGCTCTGCTGAGTTGTGTTCAGCTGTGGGAGTGCAGCTTGGACCCTGCAGGGAGGGAGCACAGAGCAAACCCACTGCTGCCTGGGAGGAAAGGTTGATGTGGGCAGGAGCCGTGGCAGGGGAGGACAGGCTGCAGGACAGCAGAACAGCTCCTGCTGCTCTCAGAGCTGCTGTTCACGAGGGTAGCAAACCGTGTCGATAAGGTACCTGTTGTTACTCACGCTCTGCAGTGTAACAAGTAAACTTTCTAAAGGAAACAATCCCCACACCCTTGTCCAGTATTCAAAGCAACTATGGGTTTAGTTTTTAAAACCGTTGAAGGGATCTGCCACTTTCAATAAAGTAACGAAACAAACGAGGCTGTGTAACTGTTTTTAGGGGAAAGGATTGGGTCCTGCTGCTCTCTGGGCGTTCTTGTCTTCCTCCCCATCCTGTGTCCGACTGGAGCCTGCACAGGAATGTCCAAAACCCCAACCTCCTGTGGCTGCTCCAGCTCCTTCTGTCTCCCAGAACACCTGGTACCCATCAGCCAGATCTGTGACCTGGTGACACTGACAGCTGATGCACAGAGGTAATTCAAAGCCCTGAAAACACACCCAGGCTGGTGGTACTCAGCTCCACAGAGGCTCTGCCACCTCCTGCACACCACACTGACACTCAGATGGAGCAGAGCTGGTGCTGGTGAGCTGAGAACCACAATCTTGGCAAGCTACCATTAACTTGAGCACAGGATGGTGAGTCCAGGAATGAGGCTGAGAGAGTTTTATACCAAGATGCTATTTACTTGGAACAGTTGTGTTCGGCCGCAGATAACATGTCTAGTCAATCCACATGGATGCACCTACAACAGGTAATTAAAAAAATAACAAAGGAAGAGGCTAATAAATTAAGTACATTAACTTAGCTGAGACAGTGGTGGCGAAGGTTGGATCTGCAGTCACTCCTCTTCTCTAGGATGCAAAAGCCAAGTGAGAAAATCCCTCTGGATTCCCCTACCTGCAGTCCTCATCCTGCATGTCTGAGACCATGTGCTGGTCTCTGTCCTTCCTGTTGTCCCAGGGCTCTCCACACTCCTCCGTCCTCACAACAGGCAACACTTCCATTTTGCTTTCACTGCACTATGGCATTGTTCCTTCTGCTAGTACAAACACTTGTCTATCTAATGACACACAGCAGTCCCCAGAGCCCATCAAAGCCACGTCCAGCAGCATCCTGTGGCACTTGGCAAGTCAGTCCTTCTGTGGAGGCACCCAAAGGTGACAGGTTTGCAAAAACAGAACAAACTGCAAACATTTCCAATTTAATACAGAGATTTAATGGAGTCCAGACACTAATGCTCTGTCTGGAATCCAGTGACCTTCACACCTTCATGAGAAAGAGAAGATGGTCCCACCCTGAACTGAAAGGTAAGAATAGGGATTTTCGGAAGTCTTTGCATGACAAAAGCACAAGCAATGGTGACTTTCAGAGAGGCTTGCTCTGCTACTGTGCTCAAATGCCTTGAACACATCAGCCACACCAGAGTGCAGTGTTTGCCATCCTGTGCCTTACCTAATTCCTTACTACAGGACAAAGAAACTGGAGCTGTGATAGAGAATAGCAGTTGAGTTCAGAGGAAAACCATGCACCCCCTGCACCACCCCTCGGTGCACCGACCCCTCAGCAGAGCTTCACTCCTGCTTCCCCAAAAACCACAGCCAGGGCAGCTCCCGAGGAGCAGAGCTGGTCCAGGAGAGCTGCAGCTTCTGCTCAGCAGGACCTGTGGGAGAGCTGACACAGCTGTGTGTCCCCATGAGCCGAGACACGGACGGGGGCTGTGCAGCCACCAGGCTGAGCCCTGGCACCTCTGCTGGCACCTCTGCCGCAGGCTGGCACCGCCCTGGCGCTGCTGACCGCCCATCCAAGGCGTGCAAACCAGGGGCACCTGCCTTCAGGGCAAGTGAGGGTGTCACTGTACAGGCAAACGGGCCCAGAGCCCTTCCACAGTGTGTGCACACCAGGGGTGTGGGGTCTCTCTAAGGAGGTTCAACTGGAACGGACTCGACCCTTCCACAGCGTCAGGAATGGATGGGATCCCCACCTGCCAGCCGGGGGAACGAGCCTCCTGGGGCTTGGCTTTGTCAACTCCAAAGTCTCCTGTTCCCACCTGCCCCTCGCGGTGGTGCTGCCCGCAGAGCTCCAGCTCTGCCCCAGTCAGTCCGAGTGACTGTCCTTCTCCTCCCTGGGCAGCAGCAGGCTCGACCTGGCCGGAGAGCTCGTGGCTCTCTTGATCACCTCCATCCACCTGCCAAGCAAGGACACGGGAAATGCTCTACCCTTCACTCACAGATCATCGTCCTTCAGTTAGGAGCTGCATCCCCTTCCCAAACCTCCCAAAACAGCCATTTCCTTCTACCAGAGTTCTAGGAAATTAACTCTTCAAATGAACAACTTGAGAAGTGGCAAATCCCCTCCAGGACGTGGCTGTGGGTCCAAGGCACAGTCCCAGCACTGAGCTCCCAGGAGAGCTCACCATGTTCTCACTGCATATTTGTCAAAGCTGACAAGCTGACAATAATTGCTGCTTATCTTACAATAAACTAGGGATTGGGAAACAGCCTTGCTCATGTGGAAGAAAGCAGAGCAAGAGTGAAAAAAGCAAGACAAACCCAATTTTCCCCCTGAAATCACTCCATGAGCACAGTGGATTACAGAGCACAATTTATGGCTCGGGTAGCTGACGCCAAAGGTGCTCCCAAGTGTGTGACACGTCCAAGGAAGGAGGACAAATGTGACACCTCAGTAACACCACACTCCAAAGCAGCCAACACAGCCCTGCACAGCAGGACCCACTGCAAGGGTTCTCAGCAAAGGTTTGGGCATGATTGAGACATGGTTTGCTTTGGACCCTGCATGGAAACCCCTAAGAGCAATTAACTGTAACTACAGAGAATAGTAAGGTAATTACAGAGACACCAGGTGAAAGGCAGCCCTGCATGTGTTCCTCAGCCTTGTGCTGCAATTCCTGTTTCCAGAGATCAGAGACAAAACAAGTGTCTTTCCAGACCCTGGAAATCTGACTCCCAGAGCTGGAGGGGCTGCCTTTCCTCCCCAGTGCCTCCAAGGAAGGCCCAGCTCTGAGGGTGCCCCCAGCTCTCCCTCACACACAGGAGGGATCTTCAGACACCATCAGTGGGGAGAGGAAGGGAACATTGTCCCTGAGAATGTGCTGGAAGGTCACTCGGAGCGGGAGGACAGAGAAGGCTCAGGATGACCAACCCCCGAGCTAAGGGCAGAGAACACAGAAATTACCTCTCGAAGGTGTATTTGCTCTCAGCCCTGAAGAAATACACGTGGGACTTGAACTGCAGCTTGAAGACGTAGTCCTTCTGGATCCTGTCAGCCTCGGCGGGCGCGCTGACGGCGTAGCCCAGCAGCGGGAGGCTGGCCAAGGGGTAGTCGTCCTGGAAGAGCCGCACAGCGCTCAGTGCCAGGCCCTGCCACCCCACAACAAACCCCTCCCCAGCTCCTCTCCTGTCTTTACAGAGCTCTTTGCTTTAGTCACGGCAGGAGATGTTTCCCCTCACCCACAGAAGGTCAGTCCCATCAGAACTGGAAATGCTGACTAAATTCCACACGAGGGGCCCCAGAGCCTTTCAGAGAGCAGCTCCACTAGGAGCTCCCACCTCTTCCACTTGCTGCTCTCCTCCAGAGAGCCCCTGGAGCTAAAGCCAAGGCCCTCCAGGTGCCCCTGAACACTGTGCCCTCTCCTGCCCCAGCTCACCTGGTGCGTTTTGTAGAAGAACAAGCAGAAATTGGTGAAGACAACCCACAGTTTCTGCCAGCCATTGCTGTTCTTGAACTTCCTCAGCAAGTACCCAGAGAGCTGGTTCTGGTGCAGAGGGAAGAGAAGCGCAGTGAGCAGGAGGTCAGCGCCCGCCGCGGGCACCACCACCCTCCTGCTCCCCGGGCACAGCCACCAGGGCCCTGCCCTCAGCCACCCCCGGAGAGCAGAGACCGTGGGAACACGCTGGGGAGGGGGGAGACAAAGCAGAGAGGAAACAGAGGGTGGCAGAGCTGAGAACAAAGCCAAGCAGTGTGGGCTGGGGGTGCCCTGGGCCAGTCAGTGCGAACGGGGAGTTCACGGCCTGGAACCACAGTGTGTGGAGTTTGCAGCTGGAGAGAAAGGCAGGACATGTGGCAGATTTGCAAGGAGAACCATTTTGGGGAGCACAAACAGGAGGAAATCCTGTCTCAACGTGGCACAGTACAACTTGCTGCTGGGGAGGAGCATCCTCACACCAACACGCTGCAGTTACAGAGCAGGACATTGTCCTGGGCTCCCATGGCTTCTCCCCACAGCAGAACATGAGGCATCTTTACCTGGATCATGCACAGGTAATCAGACAGGGATAGGCTCTGGTTCCGGTACCAACAAACATGGGTGATTGTGTTGGGCCGTTGGGCCTGGCCCAGCAAATAGCGAGGAGGAAGCTCTGGAGAAACAGCAAGAGAGCAGAAAACTGAGCAGAGAAAGGGGGAGAGAAAGAGAAAAACAAAGCGTTAGGGTGAGAGGAGTCATGCAAGACAGGCAGCTGTTGAAGGCAAATGGATTGTGAAAAAAATGATGGTGTTAGAACATGGAACAGATGAGAGCGAGAGCGAGTGCAGGAACTCAAACATCCAACCCCAGAGCCTGGAGCAGGGTGGTCTCACCACCAGGCACAGAATGGGGACGGAGCCTTTCCCAGGGGTGGCAGCAGGGAAGGACAGGCCTGTTCCCTCCACTAGGGTCCACTCTGCCAGCTCAAGTGCCCAGGTCACATCCACAGCACCTCCCTTACCCAGCTGACCCACATGTCCCTGCATCAGGAAGGCCCAGGAGTCCCAGAGCTCAAACTTCCAAGCCTCCAGGAAGGTGTCCTACCCCACTGCCCTGTCCAAGTGCCACCAAAAGGGACACCACAGTGCCAGTGCAAGTAGATCTTGCCTGGATGTGGGCAGGACACAGTACCCAAACATGCCACCAGTGCTGCACCACACCATGCTCAAGGGCAAGACCTAACAAATCTCTGCTCAGCGTAACAGGACACTGAGGGGAAATGGCACTTTCTAAAGCTTCGGCTCAGTCCCACCAGTGAGGGAAGATGTATCCCCACCGAGCCAAGCCCCCTCCTCTGCACTCTGGGTGCAGTCCAGCAGCTAACCACAGCTCAGCACAGCAGAGACAATCTCTGCAGGGAAATATCATGGACAGGCAACTTACACAATCATGGAGTCATTAAGGTTGGAAAAGACTTCCAAGATCATCAAGGCCAATGTCGACCAAATACCACCAAGCCCAAGTGCCACGTCTGCTCCTTTTCTGAACACTGCCAGGGATGGTGAATCCACCACGGCCCTGGGCAGCCTGTGCCCATGCCTGACCACTGATTCAGGGAAGAAACTTTTCCTGATATCCAATCTAAACCTCCCCTGGCACAACTTGAGGCTGTTTCCTCTGGTCCTGTCCTTTGTTCCCTGGAGCAGAGCCTGACCCTCAAATATTTCCTCTAATATCCAACCTGAATCTCCCCTCATGCAACTTGAGGCCATTTCTTCATGTCCTGTCCCTTGTTCCCTTAGGGCAGAGCCTGATCCCCACCTGGCCCCAACCTCCTGTCAAGTAGTTATAGTGAGTGAGAAGGTCCTCCCTGAGCCTCCTTTTCTCCAGGCTGCGCCCCCTCAGCTGCTCCTCATTAGACTTCAGCTCCAGCCCCTTGCCCAGCTCCATTCCCTTTCTCTGGACACCTCCAGCCCCTCCATGGCTCAGCCCAAAAGTGAGCCCAGGATTCGAGTGCCTCACCAGTGCCCAGCACAGGGCACACTCAGTCCTGCTGCAGAGAGGACGAACCCCAAAGGAACAACTGAGCCCCAGGATATCCCAGGACTCCTTTCAGCTGGCCTGAGCTGGCATGGGACGGACACACGGACACACGGACGGACATCACTCGGCGCCCCAGGGGCCAGGGCTGCCCGTGGTACCTCGACGGCCACACTGTGGTCGGCCATGGAGACGCTGGTGTTGCGGTACCAGCACACGTGCATGGTGGTGTTGGCACGGTGGTGGCTCTGCCTGTCCAGGGAGCTACGAGAGGAGTGTATGTCATCTTCGGACTCCTGTTCTAGAGAGACCTCATCAGAGGATCCTGGGGGAGGAGAATTGGGCAGTGGTTTAAGAAAACTGTGCAGCACCAAGAGCAAGGGAAGCTGAGCTCCTGAGAAAGGCTGTTCTCCTGCCACGGTCCAGTGTGAAGTACATCGGGTTGAACTGGTTACAGCTCCTGCCACTCTGAGCAGATCCATGGGGCTTTGGTACCCAGCTCTGCCTGGGGCAGGGTCGAGATGGGCTGGGATGGAAGGGACCCGAGAGCTCATCTCATTCCAACCCCTGCCCTGGGCAGGGACACCTCCCACGAGAGCAAAACCACACAGTGGTTTGGCTCGATGCTGTGTCAAGCAAAACACCCCACACTTCATCTTCAGTCAGCTCCCAGTGAGGAGCAGCACAGAGCTCCAAAGGGGACACCCGTGTTTCAGCACAGACCACCACCAGACAGGCACGGAACACTGGGCCATAAAACCTGATCTCGAAAGACCACATTGTGGACAACTCACCACGTGGTACAACTGAGCAAAATTATCTAAGAGATGAATAAAGACCCCAGAAAATCAGCAGTTCTGCAACGGGAGCATCTTTGCTGCATTCAAAGCTACCCTGAACATCAGGCCAGGAAGACAAGCACATTTCTTTTGGTTAAAACCACAGCACAGTTAACTCTCCATTACCACATGAATCATAAAACTGCTCCATTTATGTCATCTAATTCACAACAGGAGAAACAGAAGCACAGGACAACTGCTGCTTCCCAAGGAGGGAGGGAATGCCACTTACTGTTGGAGCGGTTGCACACAGAGTTTTCCAGAAGCATCTCGGATTTCTCAGTAGATTTCTTGGCCATTTCAATTGCCACGTTCAGGTCTTCCATCCACTTCCCCATCTCCAGACGGGTGCTACAAGAGAGGCAGGGAATGGAGAGCTGCAGCCAGAGCTGTGTCTGAGTGTGGCTCACCAGACCAGGGGCAATCCCTCTCCATCAGTAAGTACAACCAGAACTCCCCTGGGGCAGGAGCTTCCAGGGCTGAAGGTGACCTCACACAGCCTGCACACTACACCCAAGCCTTGAAACAAGACTGAGATATCCACTGAACACCAGGACTACGAGCAAAGGGAATGAGCAGACACTGGGGGCACCAAGTGTCACCCACACCTGATCTATAAATGTCCTGCGGGGGTGTTTTCAACAACAGGTCACCAAGCAGTAAAATACCCTGTGACTTCAGTGCTCCCACCCTGCATCCTTGGCATTCCCAACCCCAGCTGCCTTCCAGCAGACCTGCAGCAGGACAAAGCCTCCTGGAGCTGATCCTGAGAGACATCCCAAATACATTTCAGCTAGAAAGCAAAAAAGGCACCAAACTCCCTGCCCAGGGACAAGTCAGACTGCAAAGGGATTGCTTTTATCTCTACATCAGCCTTTAATTTTCCTCTCCCTTCCTGGCTTCCTCCACGAGATCCTGCAGGACCTCTCCTCTCCTCACAGCCATTCACATGTTCTGCATTTAATCCTTTGGGGTCTCTCAGATCCCTGCATGTTCAGGTTCCATTCTGTCTCCTGCAGTGGTCTCAAGGACGACACTGGTAACTCACAAAACCCCAACACAATGCCAGTGTTACTGCTGCTGTGTGTCTCGGGTGAGCCACAGACTGGGTTGGGTTGGAAAGACCTTAAAGCTCATCTCATCCCACCCCATCCATGGGCAGGGACACCTCCCACCAGCCCAGGCTGCTCCAAGCCCCATCCAGCCTGGCCGGGAACACTCTCAGGGATGGAGCAGCCACAGCTGCTCTGGGCACACTCACAGTACAGAATCCAATCCAACCCTGCCCTGTGTCCATGTGAAGCCATTCCCCCTGTCCTGTCCTGCAGGCCCTTGTCCACCAAAGCTAGAGACAACTCAGCAAAAGCAGAGTTACCTGGCGGCCACCACGATGGTTTTCTGTGCAGAGTAGATGGTGAAGCAGTGTGGGACAGCCCATTCATTCTCACTCTCCTCCACCTGCAGGAAAACAAAGTTTTTGTCATCTCTGCTCAGTCACTAATAAACACCAAAACTGTCCTCCCTGGCTGGGAAGTGGAGCCAAATAGGATTCCAACCCGGCTGCAGGAAGTGCAAATAGCTACTCTGACAAGTATCACCTACTCCCAAGTCTATTTTGGCTCTATATGAGAAGCTATTGTGTGTTTCTACTGCAGGAGCACAACACCACATCCAGCAGGGCAAGGAAAGATTGGGGTGGAGCAGATTTGGCTCATTACTCACCGGAGGGTCAAGCACTATCAGCTGCAAACCAAAGACAGAAAGAACACTCCCATTAGAACAGGGGGTGAGGAGCCAGGAGGGCTGGTAGTATGTCTAGGTGTGTGCAAGGGGACAGAGATCCAGGCTAAAAAACCCCCTATTTCCAGATCAGCTCCTCGCAGCAGCATCAAGCAGAGTGGACAAGAGGGTGTACTCCAGCTGGTCGTGGTAATGTGGCTCATCTCCTGCAGACAAGGACCTGACACACAGGAAGGTCCAACTGCTGCTGAGACCAGCCTGGGAGCAGTTTATGGCTTTGGTCCTTATGCCCCGAAGGAATTCTTCAACCTGCCTTAGGCAAAGGCATTTCCTTAACTGTGATGAACCTCGAACCACTTACCAACATGCCATGCAGAGAGAGGTGTCCATGGATCTTGAACTGGTTTGTCCCTGTGACCCCTTTGCTTGTGTACAGTAACATATCTGAGAACTGGAAAGGCAGGAAGAGGACAGTCAGTGTTCTGAAAGCAGCAGGCAGGGCCATCTCCTCAAAAATCTGTTGTTTAAAGGCCAGTGTTTAATGGCCACACTCCACAACGGAGCCATGTCATTCAGCGGCCAAGCTGACCAGGCAGTGGTGCCACAGTCACACTCTCTCTGAACATCCCTCAGGGTGAGTTTTCAGTCACCTGTGCTGGTTTTTGACACAAGCACATGAAAACAGACTTTCCCAACAACCTTCTCTTGAAGCCTTTGGGTTTATGAGAGCCAGAAGCAACACCCACCAGAAAGAACATCCTCTGCTGCAAACCCTTCTTAGTGAGCTTGTACAAGCAACCTTCCCGGATAAACTCCTGCAGTGCAAAAGACAAAGTCAGACAAGGCTTGACCTTTCCCCAAGTCCAGAGAATCTCATTTTCACCCCAGAGCACACAGATGTTGATTGGTGCCCAGCAACGGTCACTAACAGATTTGTTCAAGGACAGATGACACTTTGCTCCTATTCTGTGACAAGAATCAGCTCTCTCTGCAGCCAGCATTTAAATCAGTGGAGGAGGAGAAGGGAAAGGAGCAGAATTCCTGTTGGACACCAGCAGTTCACCTATCACACTTACATCCCACCGCAGTGACTGCCAGAGCATCCCCAAAGCACCTGCGATGCTCCTGCACTTATGCCCAGTACATCTATTAAAACAAAGAAACAACACACCAGGCCGGAACCAACCACACTCCTGTGAAACAGAGGCTCCCACGCCAGCTCAGCAGGGCCACGGCTCCTGCCACTCCTGTGCTCCCCAAGGCTGCACCAGGCAGACACACACAGGGCTGGGAGTGGATTTCCACCCAGCAGGACACACTGTGTCCCACCCAAACACCCAGTACCACTCAGGGTGCCCAGGAGCTGCACTAGACACATGAAATGCAGTCACAGTCTGACAGAGGCATTTCTGGTCTGTCCCTCAGGACACCACCAGGGTGGTGGTCCCATCACCCATGGGACTTACTGTGGGACAACCACACAAAGCCTTTGAGTCGTCCCACAGACCAGAGAGGCAGCAATGGCAAACCCAGGGCTCAAAGGCACTTCCTGGGCAATGACACCACTCACACCAAGCCGAGGCACTTACCCTGCCAGGTGCTGTGAGGTTGTCTATCCCAATCAGGTCATGCTGCAGCTCTGTTAGCTTCTGGAAGTTCTCCAGGCGGATGAGGCTGTTCTGCAGCTGTGATGTCATTTCTGTGACTTCCTTCAGCGCATCTGCATGGAAAACAGCACCAAAGGGATCAGAGCAGAGACACCTCAGCACTACACTCCTGGAAAACTGAACCTGAGGTGTAGATCTGAAATTCATAGCCAGATTTAGAACAGAACAGCTCAGGTGGAAGGGACCTGCAATCATCACCCAGCCCAACTGCCAACTCCTTAGTGTGATTTCAGAGCTACTCAGAGAGCAAACAGAGACTAGCAAGCAACTTCTTAGCATTTCCAATGCTTCTGGGGATCGCTGTGTACCTTAGGCATTCCTCATATAAGAAGCATTTAGCATGCAGTCAAAAGCAAACTTAAAGATCAAAGCCAAACAGTTCTGCCAAAGATTACTTGGCATGAGTGGAATTTGCCACACACACTTTTGGTGCTACAAAACAAGCACTTTATGTCACACTTTTATTTCTAAATGACAAAATGTTCCTAAAAACCCCTGGGTTTTTTTCTCTGCTAAAAAAGGAGACACAAAACCAATTCATTTCACAGCTTTGGTTGAAACACTGAGGTCCATCAAGACACCAGGAGACACAGCTCTTTGGAATGCCAGAAGAAAAGCTCTGAGTTTGTGGATGCAATTGAACACAAGTGAATGTCAGCATTCTAGGCCAGGTGGATGTGGCTCTGGACACCCTGGGCTGGTGGAAGGTGTCCCTGCTCGGGGCAGGAATGAGATGAGCTCTAAGGTACTTTCCAGGCCAGACCCTGCTGTGATGGCCTCACTGGGGTGGAGAGCTGTGGGTGCTGTGGGAGCAGCTGCCTGCAGTGGGCACAGGCTGGGGACTCACTGCGGCAGTCGGCGAAGTCCCGGTGCTCCGCCGTGTAGTGCTTGCACAGCCTTCCCAGGATCAGCTTGTAGTGCATCAGTCTCTGGATGGGTTTGAGCAGAAAGGTGTTGAGGGGCAAGTAGCAAACCTTCTGCAGCTCAAACTCCTTATAAACCATCTCCAGCCTCTTGAGGCGTTTGGTGGCTTTCTCCAGTTCCGTCAGGACCTCGTCGTGCTTCTGCAGGTAGCTGGTGAACTCCTGAGGAATGGGACAAGAGACTACTTGGACACAGCCTTCCCTCAGCAAGGACAGGGGCAGGGCAGAGCAGGTGTGTGGCACTGTGCCTGTGGGAATACCAAACGTGGTGGTGGAAACAGAGTCCCTCCCTCCTGCACACCCATTCGAGCCACAGGTTTTAATGGATCATTGCTCCACCACTCCAGCACAGGTGCAACTGTTCCACACAGGCACTGCTCCAAACAGAGGAGACTTCATTCCAGAGGAGACTCCTCTGCCCTTAAAACATGTGTATCTTTGGATCAGGGCCTCAGCAGGGGAGCCAAATAGATAATTTTCATTGTTTTCTGCTGAACAACCAGCAGTGACTCGGAGCCTTCCTGCAATTATTGATGTCCTCTCTTTAAATTGCTTATCGACAGGAACTGTCAGTGACTTCAGGACTGACTGACAGAGGAGGTTTAGGTTGGATATTGGGATGGAATTCCTTCCTGTGAGGATGCTGGGACACGGGCACAGGTTGTCCAGAGCAGCTGTGGCTGCTCCATCCCTGGGAGTGTTTCAGGCCAGGTTGGATGGGGTTGGAGCAGCCTGGGCTGGTGGGAGGTGTCTCTGCCTGTGGAACAAGAGGAGCTCCAAGGTCCCTTCCAGCCCAAACCATCCTGTGATTCCATGACCAGTGGAAATACTAAACCTTGAACACAATCCTTGACAAGCTGAACAAAAAGAGACTCAACAACCCCGAAATTCTTTGATCAATACTCTGCTCCTGTACCTACCTTTAAAGTTCGCATGTTCCTGAGCATGACGTCTCCGATGCGCTGGTGATCTCCTCTCCCGTGGGCATTGCTTCTGCCTTCCCTGGAACACAAGGGAGCAAACATGAAGGCAACAGACATGGGGGGCACTGAATTTCTGTTTCCTCCCTCCATCCTCCCTCATAGCTCAAAACAGACTCTTTAGCCACTTGATGTTCCTGTTTCACTGTTCAGACTGAAAACTTGGTTCAGTAAATATGGAAACTGCAGGAAATCATGCTCAGAAGAGTGAGAAAGGAGAGCAATGAGTAGTGTTAAAGTCCATTTGGGAGTTCAGTCCCCTAGACCTCTGACTAAATCTCACAGCACAGTCCCACCCAAGCTGCTGAGTTCATGCTGGGGTTAGGCTGAGCACCAACTTTTGAGCAGCAATGGCCTCATAAGATGTAATATCTCAGGTCAGGAGAAAGGAAAGGAAAGGTTAAAAGACTAAACATGGCTCTGTGAAACAAACTGTGCTGCAAGACCCAAGCTCAACTATAGAAAGTGTTTCCTGCATTTTCACCTGGAGATTCATTAACTGGAAGGTGTGGAAAAAACACACACATTATCTTTTTGACCTTGTGTTCCTTCTCTTTTCTGAGGCCTGAGAGACACCACCAGGTTTATTAAGAATTGGACTCGGTGATCTTAAGGGTCTTTCCCACCCTGAGCGATTCTGTGGTTATGAGACCCTCGGCCTGGGGCACAATTTGTGTGCCTGCAGGATATTGCACACAAGGCAGAGCCTGAGAAATGGGGTTGGCACCACACAGCACCTTTATTCTAACTATAATTTACTACAAGACTTCCCTGTGTTCTGTGGGTGCAGAAACACCTGCTCGAACAGCAGTTAAGTCTGGTTTGACGTGAGGATGAAGAAGCAGCTCCCCCCGCTCGCTTACCAGAGAGACAGCCTCTGCTCAATCTCCTTCAGGAAGCCTCGGTGGAACTCGTAGATGGGGTCTATGTTGGAGAAGAGCAGCGTCATGAGACCCTCTGGCATGGCATTCTCCTTGAGCACCGCGCTGCGGAACCACTGCCAGAAAACCAGAAATGCTGAGGGACCTCTCTGCTTCAGAATCTCATGGTCAGCATGAGAGTTCCTGTCCCTGCAGGATGGGGGAGCAGGAAGTGTGCACAGGGAGAGAGCAGGAAGGAAGAGAACTATGGAGGCAAGAGGTAATTTGTGAACAATGAAGCAATGGGATGCGTTCCCTCGTCAGACACTAGGCAGATGAGGCTCTGGGCATGAGCAGGTCCCTGGATGCAGTGATTGATGGGATGGCTGGGACAGCTGAGTGACAGGGCAGTTACCCAGTGCTGTCACTCCCACGCAGACACAACTGCTCATGCACCTCGGGGCCTGTGCACGCTCCTCAGCAGCTGGAGACACCTTGTTCCAGGTCACGTTCTGCACCTCCCTACTCTCTGGCAGGGACAGGGATACCACAAACGCCTCTGAGGTGCCAGGCATCACCCCACTGTGAGGAGAAGTGCTGGGAAGCCTGCAGGGAGAACTGGAGTGAGATGGTGCTCACTGAGCTCGTGGGGAGCACCTCGACTGAGACACAGGGCACTAAGGGACTCCAGCTTTTCTTTGAGGAAACTGAAACCACAGCTCACAGCAGTGCAAGTCACACTGGAGTCTGTGAACACAAAGCTCCTTCAGAAACAAAGCTGGAAGTTCACACTGCCCTCCAAGTCAGGGCTCAGCTGTCTACTCTGGCTGAAGGGAAGAGAAAGAAAACAACAACAAAACAAGACAAAACCCCTCAAACTCCCATGGGCCCTTGATGCCCTTTGCAACTGCCATCTGCTCTCAGACCTAGAGGCACGAGGATAAAAGCTTCTTGAGGAACACTGCAGAGACAATGGTCAAGTTACAGGCTGAGCTGGCAGCGGCCACTGAAGCTCAATGCAAAACATTTTTAGGCTGTTTGGTTTTCAGAGCAAAAGTTTGGCTAAGCCATCAGGGTGACATGGGATGCAGCTGCTGGAGCTGATGACAGAAGACCAAGGACAGTCCCTGCTCTCTCATAGGGAGGACCTCTGGAACAAGGAGGGGAACAACTACTCGTGTCATGGGTTGTGCTATCTCATAGGAAGAAGTCCCGAGTTTTTTCCCAACTAACAGTTGCAGTCTGTAAAGAAAAGAATCACAAAGTCAAAGCTCCTTACCACTGTGATAACTTCCAAGTCCTTTAAATAGGTCCTCTCTGTGGCCAGAATCTCCTTGGCTATGAAGTAGGCCTTGTCCGTGGGGCAGCGCTGGAAGGACACGCAGCCATCAGTGAGGAGCCAAACACCTCTATGGACCACCAAGCGTGAGCTCAGCCTTGCAGCCACTTCCCTCGCCGTGTGCAAGTGGAGCAGCTCACTGCTAACTGCATCACATTCCCAAATACTACACAATACAAACCACCAAATGCTTCTGCCTTTCGAAATTATTAAAAAATAACGCCAGTTATCACAGCACAGCAGAATGGGTCGGGTTGGAAGGATCTCACAGCTCCCTCGGTTCCCTTCCAGGACTGTCACATCTACAAACCAGTTTCGGCCTGGAGGAGAGCACAAGCTGCTGAACAGCAGACTTTGGGCTTCAGTGCTTCAGGCAGCTAACACAGCCACTGCTCACTATTTCCAGGCTAGAAGGACAGACCAGAGGAAGTATTTTAAAATAGCAATGGAAACTAACAGTGCAGTGATCTGCTAAAGCCATAAACTCCACCTCAGCAAGCCCAAACAAGACAGGGAGGCCTCAGCTGGGAGGGCTGGGTGGTCTTCAGCTCAGATCCCAGTTACTGGTCAACCCTTCCTCTCTCCAGCCAGCACTTCTGACACACCAGCCACACGCTGGGTGGTTCCCAGCAGCACCACACGCCCTGCCTGGGGGAGCACTGCCCACACAGCTCTGCTGACAGGAGATCCCTAGGGGAAGGGTCAGCCATGGAGAGGACACAGACAGCTCTGCTGACCAAACCCACAATGGACCTAGTGCAAGAAACCTGCGTGTCGTGAACACCAAGGCTGAGCTCCCTCCACATCACCTCAGGACACCTCTAAAGGTCCTGCTATGACCAGAAAGCAGGGCCTGGAGGACTGGGATGAGACTGCATGGGAAGGAAGTACCCTAGAAAGGACAGCCCTTGTACATTGACAAATCTGGGTCCCTAAGGATCGTTGTGTCCCATTCCCTGCTCCTCGCAGGGACACCAAAAAACAAACCATATGAGCATTGTCCAGATGCACCTTGATCTCGGCAGGTTTGGTGCTGTGACCTCTGCCCTGGGGAGCTGTTCCAGGGACCAACCACCACTGGGTGATTGATTCCAAAAGGCAGAGGTCGAGCCCAGTTCCCTGCCACATTGTTACTGCTGACACAGGGTGGTGTGGTCCCAGCAGCAAGGCCAAGAAGACCCGAGAAGATGCCAGGAGGGCAGTGGGGACTCCTACCACAACAGACACACAGAGCCAACCAGACCCTCAGCACTGGAGTTTTTAACACAGTCACCAAACCATCTATTCTACCACAAAATAGAACACACAGCACACACAGCTCCTCTCCTGACACCACCACGACTTCCCAGCTGTGGTCCCAGCAGCAAGGCCAAGAAGACCCGAGAAGATGCCAGGAGGGCAGTGGGGACTCCTACCACAACAGACACACAGAGCCAACCAGACCCTCAGCACTGGAGTTTTTAACACAGTCACCAAACCATCTATTCTACCACAAAATAGAACACACAGCACACACAGCTCCTCTCCTGACACCACCACGACTTCCCAGCTGCATCAAGACCTTACCTTCCGTCTCATTTCGTCCTCCTCTTCCACCCTGGCGCCGCCAGCGTCGCTGAGGACAGGACTCAGCAGAGGGGATGAGCCCTGGGCAGCTGCACTCGAGTTCACCTGAAAGGCTGGGGCCAAGCCCAGGGGACTCTTCAGCACGAGGGAGGAGAGCTGGGGATGGTCCACAGGGAGGCCTGGGTGGGAAGAGAACAAGAAAATGGAGTGGAAAAGGAGAGAAAATTATTTCAAAGACAGTGCAACTATCCCACATTACTGCAAGGCAGAATTGCAATCTCCTACGACTTGTGAAACAGGCAAAAGCAAAGGAGCAAACAGGCACACAGATCAGACCTCAGGGTGCATCTCAAGGCAAGGGGAGTGTTCCCTGCACCCCACGGCTTACGTGGCAGGGCAGGAAGGATGGACACAATTACAGCTGCAGACAAGGAAGGGCTAAACTGCTCAGAGCCACTGCAGGATTGTTGAGGAGTAGCACACAGTTCACAGCACAGGGTTACACTGCAGGGGTAGAATACAGCTTCTCCCTTTTCCTTTCTAATGCAAGAGCTACTGTTCAACCTAGGGAAAAGCTAGGGCAAATCATTCCATGACTTGCCACTGCAGAAGGCAAAGTATGTTAAAAATCCATTCAGAAACCAGCGAATTTCCCAAACTGGTCCAATGGGAGAGGAAAATGTGTTGCTACACAAAGAAGGAGCAAGCAAGGGAGTGAACTCCTGGCTCCTCTAAGCCTACGAACAGAACAACCTCAAGGAAAACAACTGCAGCACTGAGTATCAGCTGGACAGACACGACCCACAGCAAGACCTGACAGAAGCAGGAGCAACTTGTACTGTTTGGCTTAGACTATTAACTGTCTTTTAAAGAAATGCTGTTATTTAATAAACCTTTGGAGGTTTCTGACACATCACAGTGGGTTGAACCTCCTCTTGGCAGCACATGGATCTCCTCAGGGGTTCACAGGGAAAGCGACTGTTCAAGATTGGCTTTTTGGAGCCAAACAAATGCAACAGACACATCAGTTACTCACACTGCACCCACGAGATTCCTCCTGACCTCACCTAGTACTTTTTCTGACCTTCCCTATGACAAACAGGAGTTTTCTCAGACCAGGCAACGGAACAGGTGCCAGCTCTCCAGACCTCCTGCTCATAAGGCCTGTGCTCCCAGCCCTCCCCAGCAGGATTTGCTGTCACACCTGCCCGAGGCAACCAGCCAGCCCCAAAGGGCAGGCTCATCATGTCCAGACTGCAGGAATCACCACAGCAGGGTTTAGAAACCAGCCCCATGGGCACACAGTGTCTCCGGGCACGGGCACAGGAGAAGGCACTGGGAGCTCTCCCAGCTGCTCCAGCTCCGCCGCAGCCCCAGGGCGAGGCAGCCCCAGGCTGGGAGTGCACATGGACAAACGCAGGAAGCTAAACAGTGCTGCATTCGGTCACCTGGAAGAGATTCAGACGATCCAGGCTGCGCAGTTAACTATTCAGACACTAGTCCAACGCCAGGTCTGGAGCAGATTTTTGTTTCTGCCTGAACATTTGCTCCTTTCCCACTGCTTTAAACATCAGCCCAGGAAAGCAACGCTGCCTGGCATTTATTTCACCTATCTGGGGAGAGGAGTTCATTGCAAGTTTGCTTTGCTGTGCCAGGAATGCTGACACAACAGCCTCTGAACAAATGAACAAATGCAGGGGTGAGGAGCTTCTTTAATTTCTTGGAATTTAACTCAGCACAGGGACAAGTTCCAGAATCTTACAACTTGGATTGCTTCTGGACAGCCTGAAAGCTCAGAGATAGCCTGAGAGCAAATGGGATACAACTTTTTCCAAACTCCTCTGCCTGCCTGTTTCTGTCGGGTTGTTCTGCCTTTTCCCCCATCCAACAGAAGCTGCCCAGGAAATTAGTTCCAAGTGCTGCATCTGAAGCAAGAACTGCCCTGCCCAAAGCAGAGCCACTGATGGACAGGACAGGCACATTCACAGACTCCCAGGCTGGTTTGGGTTGGAAGGACCTTAAAACTCATCCAGTGCCACCCCGGCCATGGGCAGGGACCCCTCCTACTAGCCCAGGCTGCTCCAAGCCCCATCCAGCCTGGCCTGGAACACTCCCAGGGATGGAGCAGCCACAGCTGCTCTGGGCAACCTGTGCCAGTGCCTCGGAACCTCCCAGGGAAGGATTTACTCCTAGCATCCCATCTCAATCTACCCTCCTTCAGCTTAAGGCCAATCCCCCTTGTCCTGTCACTTCCCAAATCTGCCTTTTCTAGAAAGGACTCGAGAATGTCATGGAGCAACTCAGGTTAGCTTTGTGTCTAACATTTGTCTAATTAAATGTTTGACATCAGCTGACGATGTCTTGACAGATTACGTTCTCATAATCCAAGTCTTCTCCACCAGAGCAGCACCGGGAGACTCCAGGCAAGGAGGGAGGACGTGCAGTGACTCCTTATTCTCCCGGGGAAGGATGGTAAAGGGAAAGCCATTTCAGCAGTTGTTCAACGTGGAAAGCTCCTAATCACGTGGAGATATCGATGCAGATCAAAACACACAAATGATTCCCTCTGACATCAGACCCTGCTGCTCCAAGGTCTTCCCTTCCCCACAGGCAGCTTCCTCCAGGGACGGAAAGGGATGACTTTCAGAGGCTGTTTCCATGTTTCACCGTTCTGCACGAAGTGCAAATCTGTTCTCCACAAACACCCCGAAGTGGTGCCTGCAGGTGCTGCCAGGTAGAGCTGCACTCTGTAGACAACAAACTTCTCCCACATCACAGCTCGATGTGCTCACTGCAGCAGCCAAAGATGCACCAGCTCAGTGTCGTCTCACACACTCAAAGATCTCCAACTACTTCTCAGTGAGTTGTACCACGGAGTTAAACCAATTACCTTACGCAAACAAACCCACAGTTCCACAGAGAGACCAGCACGTGTGCAACTGAAATAAGGAATACCAGCTAATCAATAAGCCACTGCCAGAGCTCTGTAGTTTGCACGAGCACAGCTACAGACTCAGGTGGGGACGATGGTCCTGCCCTCCACAGCCACGTGCAATGCTGGCTCTGTGCAGCAGACTCCGTTTGGTCCTCGCTGAGATAACACAGACTGAGAAGATAATAAGCTTCTGGCACAGTTATTTTTTCAGGAGGATCTCCACTCTTCCATCTTCAACCCCCACGACAAAAAGGCAGGTTTGAGTACACAGTTTGGCCAAAATTAAACGCAAGTAGAGATTCTGTAGACTTCATGCTTGGATGCTTAAAATGATTCAAGGACAACTAAAAGAGCACCCCGATCCCAGAGAGCATTATGGGACGGACCACAGCTCTGTGAGGGTCCCGTGCCCAGTGCTCACCCAGTGGAGTGCCTCCTGCACTTCACAGGCTGATTCCTTTTGGAGAGGGAACTTCATTGCTATCACTACTACCTCAAAGAGATGAGACTGTTCTGAGGCCCAAGCCCTGCAGGGGGTAACCAAGGATGGTTCATAGAGGGAAGTCATGAGCAAGCTGAGGTACTCCAGGTGAAATCCTGGAAAATACCCTCTCCTCCTTATTCCAAAACATCACAACCAGTACATTTCCCCTGCAAATCCCTTTGATAAGGTAATTGGGAGATGAATCTTGACAACTATCTAAGAGCCTAAAACCCCTAGTTAAGAGACTCTAAATTCAAAGTACTCTTTCCTTCTCATCCTCAGACAGGTCCAGGCCACACTGAAGGTTAAAGCAGGTTTACAGCACTTGGCACCTGTAAAGTCACACCTACACGTGGCACTGTCAGAGTCCCAAGGTTGGTCCTGGTTTCGTGGTTACACCCAGGACCTGAAACCAGCACCCTCCTTTCGCCACCTTCCCCCCTGCAGGAGAAGAGAACATACCTAACATGGGTCACAGATCCTGAAGGAGAGCTCTGCACCCAGAACACATGCAATGGCCTCCACATGCTGTGTCTGCCACAAAGGACAAACTTCCAGTAAAACACATGTACAGGAGAGACTTGAGGGACACACCCAGTTCACAAGAAAAGGTCTCACAATGAATGTAATTCCCACAAGGAAATCCGAACTCCTAATTCCATTTGTATCCTGGGCAAAAGGTCTGCACAAACCAGGAATCAAACCCACACAGCAGAATCTGCCCCAGCTTTTAACAAAGGGTACAGGGAAAACTGCCTGGAGACAGCTGGGAATAAAACTCTACGATGCCTTGGCCAGGAGAACAAATATTTATTCTAGTTCAAACACAGGGTAACGAAAATAAAGCTAAAAAGCCCATGGTGTCGTTTATATCAAAGTTTTCCTTGTTTTATTGCATAAACAATTAAAATTATGGATTAGTACAAATCTGCAGGTTCATAATTGGCAAATCTGAACAGACACAAAGATATTCAAACCCAACATATCATTCAATAAACATTTACCATATAAAAGATAAAGTTCAACAGATCAGTTAAGAAATTCCAGCCTTCTCTGTTGGAATGCAATGCTTTCCTGGCAAAGGTAGCACCTATGGAACTGGGCAGCCCCCTCAGCCAGACCCACGGAAGCACCGTGGGACGTGCAGGAACAGCTTCCCACAGAGCAGGTCCTGCTGACCATGCCCCAAATTCAAACCTCCAAAGCTCCAGCTCACCTGCTGGACCAATCCTATGGGAGCCCACCAGGAGGTAGTAAATTTAGTGGATTTTATGGTGTTGTAAAGTCTCTCCATCCTCCCACAGAGAGTGTACGTGCACCACCACACACACCCCCAGAAACTGCGAGGAATGAGGTGTCAGAGCCCCTGAAAACAACAGGACTACACTGAGAACTGAGTCCAACCCATCAGTACTGAGCACCTATGGCTGAGAAAGCTTTGCAAAATGACAATAATGGGGATGACTTACCGACAGGTTTGCACCAAAATAAAGTTACAATGGCTTTTATTAGTGTCTTTGCAAAACCTTACCAAGACGTGCAACCAAACAAAAACTACCACCACCAAAAATGCCCAACACCAAACCACAACCAAGCCACCAACAAAGCAAAAACCCCTTAAACAAAACCACCGAGACCACGATACAAATAAACACAGGAGATCAATACTTGCTATTATCCAGTAACTATGAAATTCACTGGAAATTAAAGGCAGAGGTGAGAGCAGATCAGTATCTTGCGCTGTCCACCCTCAGATACAATATGGCAAGTCCTGGGAATACACAGCATGTACCACTTGGCTAAGGGATGAGTCCTTTACAAGGACAAAGGCTACACACAACAGGTAACACAGGTTAGCAAATCTACCAAAGCGCAGCCAGGGGTGGGTAGGTCAGGCAATATTCCATGACCTGTGTTTTGTGCAAATTAAGAGTCCCACTGCCTGCAGAGGGAGACCAAAACCTCTGTGACACAGTGCTTTACATCTAGCAGACGTGTTTAGGCAGAGAAAGGCAGCAGGAACACCCACGAGGAGCACACACTGAATGGCTCACTCGAGACACGTTCCCATGTCTCAGTCGCGGCTCAGTGCCACAGAAAGCTGCCAGCAGCTCCCTGGGAAAAGCCACGAATATTGACATGGCTCCTGTGCCTGCTTGAGTGTGCTACAGAAGGTGGAAGGGTGGAAAACTGCCCTCCTCCCCACGGAGCAGGAGCGATGGCCCTAGCACACACGGCAAAGGTCAAGCCACCTCTGCCACAGCTGCAGGGCACACTGCGTGGGGCAGGAGGAGCAGCCTGGACAGCCCCTGTGCTTCCCCCTGGGAGCAAAACACAGCTCTAAACCCTGTGCCTTCACTAGGAACATGAGTACCTGTGACTATCCCCAGCCTCCCGCAGAGGCGAAAGCAAACACAAGGACCTACCTGCAGAGGTGAGTGCTGGGGAGGACAACCACTCTACACCTAGGCCTCATCTGCTCTACCACAGCTCCTCGAACGCTTTCTTCTTGCGTGGGACACTTGAGAAAGATGTTCTCACTTTTCCTAAGTCCTCTCCCTGTTTTCCACACCACGCAGCTCCTGCGGCAGCGACGGCTGCTCAAGGCTCTGGCGAGGTGCCTGGCACCAGAGCCACAGCTGCCAGCTGAGCACTCACCATCACGCGAGGAGAACTTGTGTGCCCAGGCAATAAAGAAATCAGGACTGGGAACTAAGCTTTAGTATCGACGCTGTGAAAAGAAAACGGAACAGGTCACAGGGAATAATGCTGGAAGCTGAGCAGCACTGCCCACCTCACCACACTGCCCCAGCTCCCTCACACTGCCCACACACAGGTAGGTGATGGGGACAGAGCAGCAGGAGTCACTCCTTCCTGCTTCCCAGACACCTCTGGAGGCAGTGGGGGAGAAGAGGATGCCTGGCACAGGTCCAGTGCACTGAGATGCCCCACAGAGTGCTGAGCTCCCTGCGAGGGTGTGAGCCACCCATTCCCCCCAGGGCAGCTGGTTTGCTCTCCACATCGACTGCAGGGAGAATTTGGACTCCCCCTCTGAAGGACCTCGCTGGAATAAACACTTTACTTGCAAACTAAATTTTCTGGCCTTGGAAGTCGAGAGAAGCCCAGGGGAAACCACAACAGCTCAGTGCTCAGTCAGCCAGAGCACAGGCACAACTGGCACAGCAGCAGCACTGAACTCACTCTGTAACTAAAACCACCAACTCCACAGATCCGTACCAGGGTCAACGGTCTCCTCACTCTGCCCTCACCCGTGAGCCACACAGTTTGCCCGAAGCTGAAGGACTGAGACCCTGGTCACTCCCACTCCTTGGAAAACACAAGGGGCACTAAACCAAGACTCTCATTACTTTCGTTAGAAAAACTCCCTGAGATTTAAAGCTGCCAGCAAAAGATCTGCAAAACTGCAAGATACCAGAAGGAAACCACTGACGATGTCTTTTCAAACCAAGCAAAGCAAACTGGCAATCCTGTCCATGAAAATACAGGCAGTTTTTTCCCAGGATCCTTTGGAAGCAGAGAATGGAGCTGGATTCATTCTCATGCCAAGCAGTTCTAACACATGCAGAGGGAGTGAGTGTGAGTGAGGCACAGGACATGAGGCAGAGGCAGAACATGGTTCCATGCAAAGCTTTATCCTGACTCCTGTTTTAAAAGGCCAAAGAAATGAACAGCCGTTCTCTACATCTTCGTCCCTGACGCCACCACCCAATACAGACTTTGCAGACAGAATTCTTTTTTCTGGCTTTCTTTTCCCTCCTTGTGTTACACAATGTAGTTTGTCTGGGAAGAGCTCAGACAAACCACCTGCAAAAGCCTAGGAAAGGCACCAGCTCTGGGCACACCACAGACCTCCTCCAAGCCCCATCCTGACACGTCACACCACACGCCCACGACAGCATCTCCACAACCTGAACAGGTCAGTCACCCACTCCAAGGGTCAGTCACCCACTCCACAGGAGAGAAACACGAAGAGAAGTAACACAGAGCACTACAAACACCAAAACCAGAAGCAAACCGATGTACGCTCCTGGAGCTCCAAGCTAACACTTTGTTCTACATCTGCTTTGGCTTTCTGTGCCACTGGCAAAGGGTTTTCCATGGGACAATAGAGATTCCAGTCAAACTCAGGAGCCATGAGGTAAGAGCAAGTGCTGTGCAGAATAACCATATCCCAGTAAAACTGAACTGGAAGAAATGGGTGACTAAGGAGGTTTTACCTCTCTCGTGTTCTGCCTCAAGGTAAGAACTCAGAGCTTCAGTGATCAGAAGTCTGAGAAATAATAGTCTTTTGTCAATGTTTGAGTAAACCATGAGGGTCTTTCACAATGTATCAAGGCCACATTTAAACTGACACCAATAATATTGAGCATGAAGTTATGATTGTAACCACGGTGCTTCTTTCGGAGGCACTGACTGTGTTTGTCCTGCTCTCTCTCTGTGAAGGACTGAACTGGGCAGCAGGGAACCCCAGAGCCTGGGGTTGGAGGAGGTGATGCTTTCCATCACGAGATCTGGGTCAGGTGCCATGGATTTCACATCCTGGCTTATACAACAGCAAAACACTCTAAAAAATGCTACTACTAGCTGAAGGTCAGAATTTCAGCCCCACAATCCATGCCAGATGGGAAGGATATTTCACTCTTCCTGTTTCACCTCAATAAATGTTGCTAACTTAGCTGTGACCAGGTCAGTAACTCTCTCCAATTACACTTTCAAACTTACAGCTCAAGCCTCAGGTCAAAGACACCTGCCTAAGAGAATCTGTGAAAGCCCTGAAGCTCTCTCTGACTGTCACCTCCAGCATTCACCCCTCTAACACCTCAGTTTGTCAGAGCAACTGCAGCATTTTTCTGAACACAGCCCATGTTCTGAAGCAAAATTCAAAGCCATTGCCAGGTTTGGCACCACTTGTCCTTCACAGATACAGGACAAGCATTTTTGTGCAGTGATTCAATGATGAAAGAAGGTGAGCCACTAAGTGCTTTGATAGTCTCTGTCTCTCCAAACTGCTGCGACGTGTTTGCTGCTGCACTGCTGAAGGCACTTGGGAGTCAGCAGGTACAGTGATTGTCTTCACAAGAAGTTTGGTGCTGCTGTTTTCAATTTGGTTGTGTGCACATTCCAAACTGCCACATGGGTCAGTTATTCCTCGAAGCTCCAAGCAGGCAAGTTGCATAGGTTGATATTTTCAAACTGTCCCTCAGAGGTGATCTGAAGACTGTTCATTTTTCATTTGATTGTGGAAACAGAAACACACCCAAACTGAGGATCTTGCTACAGTACAAGGAAACAGGTACCTTGGTGGATGCAGCTGCTGGTTAACAAGGACGTGCAAAAGTGACTTGTATTTGTGTGCTGGAGGAACAGCACATTGTCAGACTGACAGAAACATTTACAGCTGAGGAAATCCTGCAGTACACTGCAAATCGTCTGTGTGAGCCAGCTGATACTGAACTTCTCTGGAATGAGTGGTTTCTCCTAAATGCAGTATTTTCCAGCATTGTGGCCCATTACAGCCATTCTGGATGCACTGGATGCATAGAAACAGCACCAACGCTTGGATGCTCCGAGGGAAAGTGAAGAGGCACGTGAATTAAAACAAAACAACTAAAAGATCAGCTATGTTATGTGATTTAAAATCCTGCCACTGGATTGGGGTTTTCTTCTGACATCACACCCTTTTGACTTCCCAGCCTGGACAGCACAGAGGGATCGATGGAGGGAACTCAAGGCTCCATCAGTTGACATGTGACTTCTCTGTCCAGTCTTCTTGAGTGAGATTTTTCAAATTGTTCTGGAAGTCAAAGGCAAAGTTATCCCCAGCGGCTTGAGCAAAAGGGTTGCTAAAGAAGAGGTTTACATCCAGAGGTGGCGCGGTTCCAGAGTCCCAGGAGTCCGTGTCCGTGCTGCTGGAGTCCTCCGTGGTAGTAGGAGGGTAGCTCAGCTGCTCCAGCTGGTCGATGATGTCTGTGAACTGCAGGGCGGAGCTGGACTCGGAGCGCACGGAGTAGGCAGGGAAGTTGACCATGGAGCTGGCCTCGGAGTGGTTGGTGGAGCCGTAGGCGGGCAGCGCCGCGCCGTTCAGGTTGTTCAGGGAGCTGCTCTCCGAGCGGTTGTTGAGGAGGGAGCTTGTTTCGGAGGGGCTCAGGAGGCTCTGCATCCTGCTGGCTTGGGCCTTCACCTCAAACAGCTCTGAGGTGTCCGACGGCCTCTCGTTGCCATTGAAATCACTCCCCTCCTCGAATTCAAACTCCTCTTCTGTGTTCATATCCACAGCCTCGGTGGAGTACCTGTCGGGGCTGGACTGCGCCGAGGCTGCGCTCTGCTGCAGAGCTTCTGCAGTCAAGCCAGGAGACTCTGACATGCCTTTGAAGAACTCGGAACCCTGCAGCTCTAACCCACCGTACACAAAGGAAAACGCCTCAGAGCCCCCAGCAAAAAAGGACATTTCTGCTGGGTCATCATCTATGAACTCCTCTGACACCTGCAGCTGTGAACTGGTCAGAGAGAAGACAGGGCCCCCCCGGCTGCTGTGCTGCTGCTCCTGCTCAGCAGAGAACACACCTGCGGCGAAGTCATCCTCATCATTGTCATTGGCACAGCCAGTGCCCCTGCCCCCCCGACCGCTCCTCTCTACCTCTGCACCTGCACCACGACCCCTCTCCACAACAGGACACGGCGGGTTACAGTTCCCTGCAACACTACCAAACCCAACACCTTGGAGCACAGGAGATCCAGGCTGCTGCATCAGCTTCCTCCCCACGTCCTCCGCTGGAGCAGCGGTGTCCGGAGCCCTGGCGCACGGCACGCGTGAGTCCAGGGAGGCAGCGCTGGAGTCGGCGAACAGGGGCAGGATGGGCACGGCACCGGGCGAGGAACGGAGCGAGCGGAGCGGGGCAGCTGCTGAGGCAGGAGACCCTGGGGCTCTCAGGCCCTCCGTGAATGGGACGCTCTGAGAGGGGAAAAAAGGCAGAAACACAACAAATAAAAACATTCTGCAATACAGAAAACCAAATGTAACATTCAGCTCCCAATGCAGAAGGAAAATGTGCTTCAGAGGAGCTCACTTTACAACAAGCCGAACACTGTAAAGTAGCTGATCCAGCAGCCCCTGTAAGGGGCAAGGTCTTTTCTTCCCTACTGGATGGAAAATTAAATCCATGCCTTTTATAGCCTCTACTGAACAAGCATCCGTAAGGGAAAACACCCAAATGAACGTGAAATTCCATTACACCTCCTTAACCTTTCCTGTATAACACAAGTGCACCTGGTGAAACACTGGTTTCTTGCCATGGCCTGCAGAAAGCATCTCTGCAACAACCTCAGGACTGCCAGGGAGCAGGCACACAGTACCTCTGCAATAACAACATCCTCAAAAGTCTGACATTGCCCTTTCCGTTCAGCTGAGCCTTGAAAAGTAAAATATTCCTCACTTTTCACTCTGCTGGCTACAGTTATGAGCCAGGAACACCCACAGAAAGAGCAGAGCAGCAGGGGCAAAGCTCACACGTGCAGGAGCTCCTTCCCCACGGCCCCCAGGCTGCCTGGCACTGCCCCTGCCCACACTGCCGAGGCTGCAGAACTGACCTGTTTTGGCACATCCGTGTTCGAGGCGCGCGTGGACGCTCTGACCTTGCTGTGCCTCCTGAGGAACAGAGCAGCCTGTGAGCATCCAAGCCAAGAGTCCTCCCTCCCCCCAGCCACCCACCAGAAAGAACACCTCCAGCTGTAGCTGATCATGGGTTGCTAACCACTAGTTCAAGATTCAAAAGGTAAAGGAGCTGTAAATGAAACAATGCAGCAGGAACAAACACACAAAGTGGGATCAAGCAAGGCACAGATCATTCACAGAGTCATCCAGGTGGGAAAAGCCCCCCCAGATGATGGAGTTCAACCTCAGCACTAACCTATGACCTCACCTATGACTAACCTATGACATCACATTTCCATGTTTTTTGAATACCTCCAGAGATGGTGACTCCATCACTGCCCTGACAGCTGTGTCAAGCCCTGACCACCCTTTCAGGAAGAAATTTTCCCTGATATCCATCCTGAGCCTCCCCTGCCACAACTTGAGGCCATTTCCCCTTGTCCTGTCGCTTGTTATGTGGGAGAAGAAACCAACCCCCCTGGCTGTACCTCCTTTGGGGCAGCTGTGGACAGGTGGAGCTCAGTCCCCTGGTGACACTGACCGAGAGCTCGAGAGCAACTTTGGGCTGAACACCAGGCTAAACAGCACAGCCACTCTAACTTCCTCCTCTGCCACCAGTACACACACCTACGAATGAGTGGCTCCGGAATCAGAATGAATTCATCTAATTCAGTCAACCACAACCTTTGTGGCACCTAAAATTCTGTGTGCTGCACCCAAACAGTGGCACACTGCGTCACCCTCGTGGCTGGATCCATCCTGTGCCGATAATTTACTAGAAAATCAAGCTTTCCCATAGAAAAGGAGCTCAAATGGAGTCTGAGACATTAAAAATATTCATTAACAGGGGATTAATGCAAACTTCTTAAAATTCCCATTAAGTCCCTATAACCTTTCAGAAAAAAAGACTAGGAGGAGGTTTCCACATGGAGAATGGATGGATTTGGAGCCAGGTAAGGAAACCACAAATTCATAATGAAAAGGCACAATCTTAATTTCTGTGTCTAGAGACTAATAAGCATTTAAGGTCCCAGTCTGAGCAGAGCAGACCCCGAGCTGAGCTGCGTGCTCCGTCCTCGTGGCTCCTCAGCAGGCTCAGGGAACCTGCAGCACATGTGGAACTCCAGGGTGGCCAAGACATGCACTGTCCACAGACACCAAAACGTGACCCTGCAGCTTTCCAAAGCTTCTCAGATCAGCACAAACAGTAATTTTTAAACCCTTACATCTGGAGGAGGCCTCAGTAACTGGGAATGACCATGCCTCAGGAAGCACTCAAATCACTGCAAGGTGAGCACTCAGGCGCCGTGGAAGTTCAGCTACATTGCACCTTACACAGCCATCTGACCTTACCTCTCATATGGGGTTCTCTTCATCCCACTGTCCTTAATATAATCCACCAGTTGCTTCTGTGTTCGGCCACTGTGAACCCACAAAAGTACAACGTTACCAAACACAGGATGAGAACCAGAGAGGGAATGACTTCAGGAGACTTCTCCCATTTGATCTGTCTTTCTAGGACATGCAGAATTCAGCTTTGCTGAACCTGTTTTCTCCCTACCTGTATCTGAACGAGGACCCTCTGGTGAAGAACACTGCTTTAGCCTTTGGCTTTGGCTGATCAAAGAGCCTGAAGAATGTGTGATACTCCACACAGATTTTCCAGAAGTTTTTACACTCATCTCTACTTCCCAAAAGAAACTCCAATGTATCTTGATAGGGGCCCTGGGAAAGAAACCCAGAGAAGTTAAATGACACATGGCAAGGAGGAGGAGAGGAAAGCACAAAGAGATGCCAACCAAAGGGCTGAACTGCAGCGACGCAGGATTTTGCTGGTCACTTCCACAGGCCTTGGAGCAACAGGAGTGATCTGAGAGCAGTGAAATCACTTAACAGCTTTCAAAACTGGAAAGGTGTTTAAAAGGCACTTGGCTTTAGAAATATGCTCAATATAACCCAACCTTAGAAACTGGAAAGGAACTAAATCATTCAAGTGAAATAGTAGCAACTTTCAAACACCTTTCCTTTTTCAGGAGTTCTGATGCTTCTCTTGCTTCCTGAGACCACATGAGACTGGAAAATACTGTATCACCAGGTGAAGCTTCCGAGGCCTCTGCAGACATTGACCACACAGGCAGTCAGTGTCCTGCTCAGCCCCTGAGCCACACAATTACATTAGGCCCAGAGGTATTTTCCCTCTGTTAATCTAAGTTACACATTGAATGCAACCCAGTCACCCAGTGTGGAAGCAACAGCAACCCTGATGACATCTGCCATCACAAACATCTGCTGTACATCAGCCAAGCACGAACAGCAACACTTGGGCTATACAGACGTATAGAAAAGGCAAAGCATCCTTAAAATTAAGCTCCAGCAATATAACCTCAGCCACCTACTCTGTCCTGAGGAGTACCAGGTTATCTCATCTGAACCAAGGGACTGGATGCAACGTGTTCAGAGCAGGAGGACTGACACACCAAATACTTGGGTTTAGCAGTTCTTTCCACTCTGACACTTCTACATGTGTATGCCTATGTCAAGGGTAAGCTGAGGCTGGAGCACAGAGCTCAAAGACCCAAGGTGACAGACATGGGGTGAGAAAGGAAAGATGTGTCCTGGAATGACACAGCCAAGCCTGCCCTGCTGATGCTGCTTTACAAACCCACAAACTCCACAAATGCTCCTAACAAAATGAGGCATGGGTATCTTTTTCAACCCTGACCAGTCTGTATTCAAGTCAAACTTACACAGACCTCTGGGTGGAGCTTAATAAGGAATCTTTTCCTCTTGAAGCTCAGTTTACGGACCTTGGACCAGTTGAAGGTGTTGATTTTCGTGTTACCCTGAGGGAAAATGAGAACAGTTAGAAACTGGCAGAAGTTTCAGAAGCAAGAGCAGAGCAGCAAACAAGATTCTGCTGCAGGTATATAGACATGTGCACATGGACACACCCCGCACCCCAACACATTCCACTGGATTTCCAGTTCTGGGGACAACATTCCCTCGAGCAAGAGAGGCCACTGAGGAGACCAAGAGGCACCTCCAGAAACAAGTTGTGCCACAGTAACCGAGGAACAAGTAAGACACCAACTGAAGGGAAAGTGAGTGCCCAGACAAATATTTTGGTAGGCTGGCTGCCTCTCTGTCCTGGGGAGAGGAGAACAATGTATTGCATCCATAAACAGGACCGAGGTGCTTATTTAGTATAATAACGTAGGAACATTTTGGTCCAATCACTTCAGTCAATCAGCACTTTATACACTGAAAGCAAAGGTATCCCAGCAAAAATACACCGGAACATGAACAGGAGGGAACCTGAACCAAACTCTAGGAGGGCAGGCCTGTTTCAAATGAACTGATGACTCCCTGAACACACACCTAACTGTCAAACCAAACCACCCTCCTTCACTCTCACCGCTGGCTTTGATGCTCTTCACTCTCAACCAGTAAGAACAAACTGCACCAAACAGTGTTTTGGGGGCTTAAATGACACTCCCTGAACACCACGTGCACTACATTTGACAGTCAGCAGACACCTGCTGTGGATGGACAGATAGACACAGCCCCCAGCCCTCCCTCCTGGCCGTACCTGGAACACCAGCACGCCCATGTGCGACACCGCCAGGTGGATTTTGGTCCCCTCGCGGTCGGAGGCAAGGTGGAACCTGATGCCATACATCTCCAGTTTCCGAGCGATCTCAAGCACTTGAAAGTCGGATTCAGCCGGAGTTTGACCCCTACGGTGAGGAAGAAGAACAAATTTTTGTTAACAGTCTGATGCTACAACAGTGCCAACGTGGCTAATGCATCCAAGTATGAACTCCAGTGCCAAATGTGTGTCCTGTCTCACCGAGCTGGGCAGATTCACTCCACCACACCAAGCACCACACTGGCAGTTCTGTAATAGAAGCAGCGTGCCATGGCAAACGGCGAGCCTCAAACCACCCCAAACAGAGGCTCAAACAGATGTTAACTAGCTCAGAGCTTTCTCAGGTTATAAACGATAAAGCTGAACAAATCTCAATTCAACCCCCAACGCTCCTCTACACACTGGCACTGACCAGCAGGGAGTGAGAGCTGGTAGAGCTGTGCAGCCAGTACGACACACACGCAGCAAACAGTGCAAGTGACCCATTTCAGGTCTGATTTGGGGACCATGAAACTTATGACCCTAGTACTGCCAGGGGCAACATGTTCTGCCAGGCTTTGGTTGGCTAATTCCCTCCCTGCCAAAGAATCCAGAGAAGCATTTTTAAAGCAAAGCATCATCTGCTGTGGAACTCACTCTGAAAACAGGAGGAAGCTGTACACAGACAGAGCAACTCCTCTTGGAGGGTGCACAATATCCAGAGCAGGGTCAGAGACTGCTCCAGACTCCAGCACAGACCCATCACCGACTGCTTCCCAAGTGTGCTGATGTCAAACCACTGACATTTTGTTTTCCTGCATGACAAACGCCCTTTCTTCCCCTACCCCTGTTCCTCTCCATGTGCCACGTGCAAGTTCACTAGAATAAAGGTAATGACACGAGGGAGACACAGAGGAGAAAGCTTTTATTCTATTTACAGCCAGTGCTGAAAAAAGGTGAGACTCCCGCACACATTAAGCCGAATTAAAAAACCCTCTTTTCCAAGGAAGTTTTCCTTCCACAGATCTGCATTTCACTAAAACAGATGACAAACTGTTTGTGGTGTGACCTATTTTCGTGTGCTACGCAGTGCCAACCACAACACAGATACCAAATCAGTTCTCCTGCTCCTGACTTGCCTTTCTAGTCATGCTCCTTAAAACGCTTCCTTCTCCCTACCCAGTCACGTGTTAGCTTAAACAACTGTTTAGCTCCACATAGATTGTTTTTAAAATACAGAGAATATTGAAGTGAGTTTCTGTTAGATCTGAATTTATCAGGACCAGGGACGATGCCAATGTATATTAACTCCATGTAGGAACTGACTCCACAATTCAGAGGGCAGCTATTGAGTGTGCCAGTGTTTCAAAGCTGGGAGCTGGGACAAGAAGCAATGCTTCCCTAGAGCCTGGTGAAACACTCCTCAGAGTAACACACACACAGTGCCCTGAATTTGACACTGCCAACAGGATCTCAGCACTGTCCTGTTGCCTTATTCATTCTGGAGGGGGGAAAAAGAATCTAAAGCACTGCCACAGGAAATCCCAAATTTATTTTGCCATCTGCAGAAGGCAGGGATTGAGTGACACTCCCAACCTTCAGTTCAGCCCACAATCCACCCTCATGCAAACGTCAGCACTGTGTGGCTGTGTGTGTAAAGGGAGTGCAAAGAACACACAGAGAACAAAACCTGACTTCAGACGGAGAAAGACATGCCAAACTACAGCGAGTTGTGGCTGCATCTCCACCAGTGCTGCTGCCACTGTGCTAGTTAGTCTGAGAGCTTCAGCTGCTGAAGATTTCCCCTCACTGAAACAAGTCATGCTTTTAAAACTGCCTTCAAGTGCTGTTTCTAATTCTACCTCAGGTTCCTGAACTGTGTCAGAAAAGCTCCTGTTTAGTAACACATACAAGACAAGGTAGATCACAGATCCCACCTCTGGCCAGAGCTCCCCGAGTCTCCCTCAGAGCACTGTGTGCAGCTCCCACCCACGCTAATTCCTGCTACAACTCCTCTGAGGGCAGCGACATTCAGAATCAAAGTGGAGCTTTGTCTGCTGAAGAGGTTGGGAAGGAGGGTTGGAAGGCAAGAGAGACAAGAATAACATGGCAACTAGAAAACTGGAGCTCTGCAGTCCCCACAAGTCTTGGCAGAGCGTTGGGTGTAAGTGGTGTGGAACCACTGAGCACTGCTCCCCATGCCCTGGGCCTGAGCCAGGCACAGTGCAGCTCAGACAGGCAATCCCAGGAATGAGCCAGCACTGCCAGAGCAGTGAGGAGCTGCAAGGACAGGCCCTGCAGGCCCTGCCCTCAGACACTGCTGCAGGCTTAGCACACAGCCCAGCCCAAAACAATCTGCTCTAATTCCGTTCAGCCATTAAGCAGATAAATCTCCTTAATCTTCCCCAGGTCAATGGACAACAGACTATCCATGACCAGTATTTTCTAGCAAAAGCTGCTGTTAAAGCAACAGCTTCTTGCACAAAGGCTCCTCATGTCCTTCCACCTAGGCAGATATTGGTGGTGCGCTGAGATATTCCTGTGGCTATGGGTTCAGAATAAATCCTATTTGCCATTACTGCATTTCCAGAGTGTTCCCTGGGCAGGGACACCCTCCCCTGGGCAAGGCTCTCCAAGCCCCATCCAGCCTGGTCTCGAAAGCATCAGCCTGGCAACAGGTCAGTGGGGGAATAATAAAGTCAATGAAGGGACATAAAAATGAAACTGTTGGAGCAAGTCCACAAAGCTGATAAGAGGACTGGAGCATCTCCCCTATGAGGACAGGCTGAGGAAGTTGGGGCTGTTCAGCCTGGAGAAGAGAAGGTTGTGTGGAGACCTCAGAGCACCTTCCAGGAGCTGAAGGGGCTCCAGGGAAGCTGCAGAGGGATTCTGTGTTAGGAGCTGCAGTGACAGGACAAGGGGCAATGAGCACAAATTGAAGGAGGGGAAATTTAGGCTAGATCTTAGGCAGAAGTTTACCCTGTGAGGGTAGTGAGACACTGGCCCAGGTTGCCCAGGGAGGCTGTGGCTGCCCCAACCCTGGCAGTGTTCACAGCCAGATTGGATGAGCCTTGAGCAACCTGCTCTGGTGGGAGGTGTCCCTGCCCAGGGCAGAGGTTAGGGCTGGGTGAGCTCTAAGGTCCTTCCAAGCTAAACCATTCCGTAATTCCATGACAAGGGACTGCATGCATTCTGATGAATACTGTTTCTCCCCCACTCCCTCCATCCTTCCCCACCTCCTTCGTGCCTAACGAGCACTTTATGTGTACACTATGTGCTCAGTGAGAATGAGCATGATGCAGTTGGTTCCTAATGACTTACACAAAAGCAAGACCTATGTGTTTGCTGAGCTCAACTTTGTAGACCAGAACTTCTGAAGCATAATTTTGCTTAAACCATTATTGCATGATTACTTTCTTTGGCACGTTAGTAAAGGTACTGCAAAAGAAAGAAACACTGCCAGACAACTCAGCCACTTACACATGCTTCCTGTGGAACTCAAGGATCTTTCCTTCAATTTTCTCCTGGTTTGGCAAATACTGGTTTGTCTTAAGGTGTTCTCGATCCTCTGTTTCATCAAAATCTCCTATTTCAGCTGCGACAAAAACCCAAAACACTGTTAGAGTGAGAAGAAACAATGGAAAGGGAACAATGAAAAAAACCCACTTGGTAAGGAATTACAGAGACCCCGAGAGCAAGAATGAATATTCCTTAGAGTGCTTTGAATCAGCTTCGTTTTGCCCAACTCTCACACTTGTCCCCAGCAGATTTCCTGTGGATTACAGCAGGATTTGTCTCCACAGCCACCATCCCCGGGCACAGGGAAAGGGGGAGCGAAGTGGAGGGAGCACAGGGCAGGTGGGAAGAGCTGTGTGCCTGGAGGGTGCAGAGCGCTGGGGGGACAGCGCGCTGAGCCAGGGAGCACAGACACCACATGGGGCTTGGGTTGGAACAGCCCTACACAGCCCAAGTTCTCTCACACAAGCACCAGCTGCTCCTGCCCAGGGCCAGCCCTGCTGCCCAGCCCAGGGCTGCAGACCAAGGTGTGTGCGGCAGAGGACACGCGTGGGGCAGGGAGTGCCATGGTACTCACACTGCAGCAGGTGTGAGACCAGCAGAGCCGCCGTGTTGTCGCTGCAGGTCAGACGCTCCTCTGCCAGGTCCCTCTTGATTTGCAAGGCAAACAGGTACCTGAGGGAGAGGTACAAGGGCTGGAGTCACGTCCTGACAGACGAGAGGATGACCATGACTGCGCAGGAGCTCACAAAACCAGCGTCTCCTGGTTCTGCCTCTCTCCCAACCCCAGCCAAGGGCAGCACATCAGACCAAGTCACCTGGGACTAACCACGTGCAATGTATCAGCACAAATGGGCTCACACGAATGAGGAAACAGCAGGAAAAACACAGGGGCTCCAGGGGAGCTGCAGAGGGACTCTGTGTTAGGAACTGCAGGGACAGGACAAGGGGCAATGGATTCAAATTGAAGGACAGGAAATTTAAGTTAGATAGCAGGAATAAGTTTTTCCTGTGAGGGTGGTGAGACACTGGCCCGGGTTGCCCAGAGAGGCTGTGGCTGCCCCAACCCTTGTGGTGTTCAGGGCCAGGTTGGATGAACCTTCAGCAACCTGCTCTGGTGGGAGGTGTTGGGGCTGGGTGATCTCTAAGCTCCATTCTAACCCCTAAAATTCAGTGACTCTATGAAAATACACACTGATTATTTTACATAGGCCCTGTTTATAAAGTTCAATATTTTCTATACACTCTGACTCTTCTGACGCCCAAGCCGTGCTGCTTTCTATTTTGAGAAGTACTTTTTCTGACAACATCCACGTGCCAACACGTGCCTCTGAGACACAAGTGCTCTTCCATTCCTCCTCCACCTGAGTTTGTCTGGGGGCAGCTGCACTGCTCTCCTCCCCTCACCTCCCTGTTAACCCAGCAGGTAATGCAGATCCAACAGTTCCAAAAATACTTTACCTCGTATATTCCTCTTGCAGCTGACCTGGGTCTGGAGGGAAGAACTTCACAGCTAGACGAAGCATTGTAGTCTTCGGTCCTGGAAGAAAAGTTGGTCATTTCACAAGAAACCCGGTGTTCTTCACAAGCACATGCACATTGTTTGCAGAGAAACACAGCACACACTAAGCCTAGTCAGACTTCAACTCCCAGCCAGCCACATCAGGTTCTGGGCGTGGATTGTCCATGTCAACAGAGACACAGCCACTGGTTTCCAGAGGGCTTAAAAACCAATGTTGGCAAAAGTCAACATCATGACCTTAGAGTTGAAAAATTAGCTAGAATTGGCGATTTGATATTTTCTGTCCATCAATCTTAGGCAGAAGAATAACTGAAAACTACTTCCCAGTACTAATTTTCCACAAATTTCATCAAGATTTGGAAAGGAGTTGGAATCCACCACACCCTCCTGATCTCACTCTTCCACAAAGCCTCCACCACGAGAACCAGGAGACAGGCAAACAGTTTAACTCTGTGCTAAAGGGGAAAAGAAAGCTGGACCTACTCTTTCGACACCAGCAAAGCCAACCAGCATGCTGCGTTCCCCAGCCATTCCTGGCCTTGGGAGTGCCTCTCACATTTCCCTTCTGAACGGTGCAAAGCCACTGCAGTGTCCTCTAGGCAGGGAGCAGAACACTTCACAGCAGCTGCAGAGCCTCCCAGGTGGGACATCCCTACCCCTGCTCCACCAGCAAGGCTGCTCCCGAGCACATGGGAACTGGCCAAGATGTCCCATCTCCTTCCCACCATACGGCAACACAACTGCCAAGAGCTCACAACCGCGCGTTCCGTTTCACGCCAGCGTGACAGCAGCGACCCAATCCATCGAGATAATCATCAGAGAATCAATCCTACCTGCCCCAAGTTTCCATTCCACCCACACGGGACTGTGAGAGGTGCCAGGCTGGCATGCCCCAGCAGGAACCATGATCCCCCCCACCACGTGCAGTGTGCAGGGAAGCACAACCAGTAAATCAAGTAGTCACCGTGACAGCAGCCCACAAGATGCAAAGCAAGGAAACTTCCTTTTCCAAAACTACTTACTCCGTACTTGTTTAATAACAGGTTTCATAGGCTCCAGCCAAATCTGAAATTGAAGAGAAAGAAATTGCAAACTGACGTTCTCATTTGCATAGAATATGAAAACATCAGAGTCAGTTCAAATGAGCAGTGATTCAGGAGCAGCATTTCTCCCACTACACAGGAACTCCTTAGCTTCACGGAAAGTGTCCTGATCTACCTGGACTGACCTTCCACCCATCGCTGGCCAAGCCACAGTCTGTGCCGCTTCCTCCAGCACTCTCACCTACCCACTCCAGGACTCTGACTGGCTAGTAATTTCCCACCACGTTTTCTGCCTTAACAAACACATTTCAAACAAAAGACTTTGCTGTTCTAGTGAAAGGAATACCCACAAAAGCAATGCAAAATATTCTGGATGCTCCACCTTTTATTCTCCCCACCCCTCTGAACAGAAATTATTACAAGGCAATTATGTTACTCTTTACTCAGAGAGGCAGCTGGGGATTTTAAGAGCCTTATTAGCTGCAGAAACAGTTTGGATACTGTGCAGAAGCAGTGGAAACTAAGTGAGTTTTACTGCACTTCCTTGGCTCGAGAGCAGCATGGACTAATGCCATTCCCTGTTCTCACTCACATTTCCTGCGTGTGAGGCCTAACACTAGGAAAAGTAATAAGAAAAAAAAAAGAGTACAGAGTTTGGGGAACATTTTCTAGTTTAGAAGCTCCATTGTCCTCTTCGCAAGGTCCAGGATAAGCGACTAGGAGGCTTAAGGTGTCAGCACTGATCTAGCTCAGGGAGCTGAAGCCAGAGAGGCTCATGATGGCTCCGCAGGGAAACCAAGCGAGGACAGGTATGAACACTGCCACACTCTGTCAGAGCTGCACAGAGTGCTCTGAGTGGTGCTTCGCCTTTCAGGGGGAAGGAGGACTTCAGTTCTGTCCCTGAGAGTGGAACATCAGCACCTATTTCATTGCTTTACACATTGAGATTTAACAAGGAGCAGAATCTGGTTCCTCCCCTCTGCTACAGTAGTTGCTTTGGTGAGCAAAACAGATGTACAGGAGTCCAGGAGATAATCCCACAGGAGACTCCAGCAGACTTGGAAACTCTCAGCACTGATGGAACTGCACTCACACAGCCTTTTACACCACCAGGCTCATCAGTGCTGCACTCACCCAGTACGACTGCACGTTCTGGAACTCGATGCCGAAGTAATCCGACTCGATCAGATTCAGGTGCTTGTAAACCTCTGTCAGTAATGTCTGGCCATAGTATTTCGACTAAGGAAGCAACGAAGAGAACATACAGTGAGATTAACAGGAGTCAGCTCACAGCACATTAAAAACCAAACGATGGTGTATTTGGAAATTGCAGAAAAACATCACAGAGATTTTGCACGTCATTCTTGTCACTGCAACACACAAACATCTAACACGTGGACATTTCTCCACACAAAAACCTCCACAGGCCCAGAGGACCTGAAGCTGGAAGGTGCCACTGGAGGCCACCACATCCAGCTGGAAGGAAACCTCCTTCTGTTCCACCTGACACACCTGGATTCACCTGTGGAAGATCCCTGCAAAACGTCAGACAAGTTTTACACCCAAACCATGCACGGAGCTGACACAGGGATCTGTGTCCTGCCCATGACTAGTTACACACAGGTGCTAAAGTAACTCAACCAGAATGTGATGCACAGGTTTCTCCCACTTAAACTGAGTTCCATCCCTGTGGCTCCATCACGCTCCGTGCCTGAGGACCATCCAGCGGCCTTCACCTCTCCTAAGAGAAGGAGCCTGCATGGCACATGTCCCTGGCAATTCTCTCCTTCCACTGTCAAGTCCAGGCTCTCTAAAGAGAAGCTGGAGATGTAGAAATTAAGATGTTTGGGGCTTGGAACACTAGGCACCTGATCCAATTATAACATCCATGTATTGAAAGTGTAAAAGAAGTTTGGTTGGGCTACCAGCTATAATTTTGGGTGTCATTTACAATGGCAAGCTAAGGAAAAACCCAGTCTAAGCTCAGGATCATTTCACGCCCTTCAAAGGATAAAGTGACAATAACACCACATTTCGAAAGAGCAGTGTTAACTTCATTTTAAAACAAAAACGGGTCTCAAAAGCTTGAGATGGAACCCAAGATTTCACCATTGTGCTGTGGGAAAACTCTTTAGTTCCACAAACTCTTTACTACATTTATAACCATCCTGTCCGAGAAGCTGAACATCGAAGTGGGCAGAAACGAAAGTGACACAGGGAGCAGCTCCAGGTCATCCTTTAACTTGCACAAAAAGCAGCACAGAGCAAAATGTTTCCAGTAACTCCTTAATGACTGCAGTTCTAACGTCAGGGCAAGCAGCTGCACCACTGCATCTCAGCACAAACTCACAGCACAGCATACTTCCCATTCCAGCCTCCTCAATTACTCTTTATTTTCTGCCAAGACAACAACCTCTGATATTACTGAACGGCTGAATTATGTCTCTCAGAAAAAGAGGAAAAAAACGGGTAAAACCAATGAAACAGGCAGCTGAGGACAGCTGTGCCCAGAGACTGAGCTCTAACGGGATGTGACTTGGCATCCAACCCATCTTACCTGACTGGGTAACTGAGGATAATTTTAACAAGTCACCATTACAAGACTGCTCAGTACAACAGGTTTATTTCTCATTGACTCCATCTATCCCTGCCCTCTGGCAGTGTGAAGCCATTCCCTGTGTCCTGTCCCTCCAGGCTCTTGTCCCAAGTCCCTCTCCAGCTCTCTTGGGGCTCCTTTACACACTGGAAGTGGCTCTGAGGTCTCCTTGGAGCTTCTCTTCTCCAGGTGAGCAGCCCCAGCTCTTCCAGCCTGGCTCCATGGCAGAGCTGCTCCAGCCCTCGGAGCATGTCCATGGCTTCCCGGGGACTCACCCCAGCAGCTCCACATCCTTCTCGTGCTGGGACCTCAGAGCTGGGGCAGCACTGCAGGTGGGGTCTCAATCAGACTGGAGCAGAGGGAGAGAATCAACCCAACTGTTACTTGCTCTTTTCCCAAACATCACTACGTACATGGCACATCCTCCCTGTGCTGTGACGTTTGAGCTTAGGAAGAGAGGAAAACGAAGTGGGAACACACAGCCAAAATTTTCAGTAGAGCATAGCTCAGTACTACTGAAACACTCTTCCTCTCTAACTCCCAAACTTGTCTCCCAGAACATCTTAACTCTCTGCTTCCATGGACTCTAAACTAAAACCCAAACACCCCAATAATTTCACAAGGAGTAGTACTCTCATCCTGCCAAATGGACAAACTGCCCTTGCTCCAACTTTCCAAAAAAGAAATACACTTTTGGCAGCTGGAGGGGGAGAAGAAAAAAAAAAAAAAAATCAGTCTAAAAGTCAAGAGCTTGGAAAAAACAGAGTTATAAAGCAGAGGCAGAGCATGGAAACTCTTGCTCAGCCAGAGCTAGGGGAGCCACTGTTCCCCAGTGCCAGCAAACACCTTGGAGTCTGTGCTACACTAATGTGCAAATGTCAGGAGACCAAATCCTCCAGTAAACAGTGGATCTGCATGAGAGGGAAGTTTAGGTTTGCCATGATCACTGACAGGCAGCCAGTGCAGAGCACCCTGCAAGCAGCTAAGGCAACTGCAGTGATGGAAATGAAGGTCCCTTCACCAGTCACAGATTTTTGTTGGTTTTTCTTCTTTGGGGCACTTCGGTGGTCTTCCTAATGAAAAAATGTTTTCTCATCTTTTGGCAAATTGAAAAAAAAAAAGACAACTGACAAGTAAACATAGACTTGTGATTTCCTTTCTTAACAGAACTATGCAAACATTCCGGGAGTTTATAGCCCTGTTTATCCCAGCCCCTCTGTAATCTGTTAGATCTCTGTCCAAATGCAGCGTGAGACCGAAAAACACACCCCCAAGACTCCCTGTTAATGACTCCCACCAATGCCACAGACAAACAAAACCTGCACTCCTGGACACTGGGTGGACATTCACACCACATTTCTGAGAGAGCAGGAAATAATCCAGGGCAGCAAAGGAATACCCTCCACTGACCTGGTGTTCTCATGGCTGAGACAGGACAACCTGAGGGCTCCAGACCTAGCACCCAGTGTGGAGACTGGAAAAGGAAGGAGTAACTTTCTTCCTTTCCACTGCTTGACTAGTTTCTTCAATTTTGGTTGGAACTACTAACTCAACTGCAAACAGTTCCCACAAAAACAGGTACCTGGTGACAATTGTGTCCAGTTCTGGCTTCACATGCTCAGACAAACTGCTCGAACACTATTTCATTCAGATCCTCTGAGGATTTAAAAACAACTTTCAGCTTCAAATACTTTCAATTTTTCCTTCTAACTCTTTATGAAGAAAATGGTGTTTCAAACACATTTACTTGTTTCATTCATTCTTCCATACTGACTTTGTGCTTCTCCCTTGAAAATTCACCTTTTACACACTGTATCCCAGTGTTTCTACCCAGCACTGAAATCCAAGTTATTCAGTATGGAAGCTGCAAAACCAAATACAAATCTCTGAGCTATTTTAAGTTCCATTATTGCACTCCATATTTGGCATAATTTTTTTGTTTCAAACAAAATAATTTTAACACTCCCTGACCATGATTTTTTTTTGTCCCAAGATTTCAGTGGTTGGTTTTGATGTGGGTTTTGGTGGTTGGTTTTTTTAAACAGAACCCACAGCCAGACAAATCATCCTAGAAATGGAAGCCTCTGGCTCATTTAATTAAGGCTAGCTTTAAAACTGTGGCCATTTAAAGGTTCAAGCAGTGTCAAAGCACCTCACTGCCAAATGAACCAGCTCTACCCAACAAACATGATTTTCCAGAGTGGCTAGACTTGCTGGATACCTGAGAGTAGGAAAACAACAACTGGCTGACATGGGAAAAGATCTCCAAGGAGGAGGGAATCATGTGAACAAGATTGGGAAATGTACAGTTAGGTACATGAAGAGACAAAAATGGTACCAAGGTTTATAGGTGGTGTGTGCTGAAACACCTGGAGCGATAAAACACACTGTGCTCAGAGAAAAACAGTGACACAGGGTCCCCAAGGGCTCTGTGCATGGAACTGCTGGAGCAAGGCCAGAGGAGGCCACAGGGCTGGTAAGAGCACTGGAGCATCTCCCCTGTGAGGACAGGCTGAGGGAGCTGGGGTTGTTCAGCCTAGAGAGGAGAAGGTTGTGTGGAGACCTCAGAGCACCTTCCAGGAGCTGTAAGGGGCTCCAGGGGAGCCAGAGAGGGACTCTGTGTTATCACTTCTCATGTGTGCACACACAGAAATAAAACTCTATTTCTAAGTCATGTTTAACACAGACAATACTTGGTTTTCCTCTGCCCTTAAAAAAAATTACAAATTGCAAGTCTCCCTCCATTAATTATGCTTTTGCCTCAGAATCATTATCCATGCCCACACTGACAATATTCGATCTGGGCTTTCAGAGAATTCCAGAATGGTTTGGCTTGGAAGGACCTTAGAGCTCATCCCATCCCATCCCACCCCTGCCATGGGCAGGGACACCTCCCACCAGCCCAGGCTGCTCCAAGCCCCATCCAACCTGGCCTAGAACACTCCCAGGGATGGAGCAGCCACAGCTGCTCTGGGCAACCTGTGCCAGTGCCTCAGCACCTCACAGGGAAGGATTTATACAGAATGGTTTGGCTTGGAAGGACCTTAGAGCTCATCCCATCCCATCCCACCCCTGCCATGGGCAGGGACACCTCCCACCAGCCCAGGCTGCTCCAAGCCCCATCCAACCTGGCCTAGAACACTCCCAGGGATGGAGCAGCCACAGCTGCTCTGGGCAACCTGTGCCAGTGCCTCAGCACCTCACAGGGAAGGATTTATACCCAGTATCCCATCTTGCCCTGCCCTCTGTCAGGGTGAAGCCATTCCCACTTATCCTGTCACTCCAGGCTCTTGTCCCAAGTCCCTCTCCAGCTCTCTAGGAGCCCCTTCAGGCACCTAAAGGCCACACAAAGGTCACCCTAGGGTCTCCTCTCCTCCAGGCTGCCCAACCCCAGGCTCAGCCCTCCCTGACAGGAGAGGTATCAGGGTATCCAGGGCTGTACCTCCCCTCCAGGTGTCCAGGCACTCCAGGTGGACGCACAGCTTTGAGGAAGCCTGACCAAAGCACAGAGCTTAAAACAGCAAGGAATTGAGATGGTCAGGAAAGACTCTGTACACAAACTAGGAATTTCTACAGAAAAGGCCTGTTTTCGCTTCGTGCCACACCGAGGTGGTACCAGCTGCCCCAGCCTGGCCCATGCTGCACTTTGAGCGGAGGTTCATACCACGGCCATGGGTTAATGAACACCTAGGGACAGATTAGATAAGGCCAAGTGTGGCTCAGGCCCCTCCTGGCAGGAGCCTCTCGTGCCTGAAGTGGGCAGCTGTGTCCAGCTGACCCTGGGCTGTCCCTGGGGTTGGCACTCGTTGGCTTTGCCCTCCAGGCTCCATATATGCTACAGAACCACTCACCTGTGGGCCCAACTCTGAATGTCACCCACACCCAAACGAGGTTGCCAGTTTTGCTTTTTCCCCATCTTTTGTTTTATGCATACGACACTTCCTAGTCACTTTGACGGAATGGGGTAAGTCTGATTTCAGCTAATTGTCACTCTCTCACGTCACTAGGTTGTGCAAACGAACACCTGCACAGCCACACGAACTGCTGTGAACTCACCCATTACATTCCTAGTGCAAGGACTGTGATAACACATTTTCCTGAATGGTTTCTGTGCTTTAAGTCATAATATGTGTACATAATAGACTTCTCATACAGGAATATTGAACATTGTTTCTCCTTTGCTGCAGTATAACTCAATTTTCTTTTAACTTAATGGAACACCTGATGTCAAGAGAACTCTAAAATTTTACATTGGTTTCATAACACAGTTTAAGTCCACATCTTCCTTAAAAAAAGCCCAAACCAGCAGAGCACCAAGTGAACAAAACACACCCCAAATGTCTGCCCATAACATGACTGCAGCTTTACCTTCCCCACCCAATCCCACAGTCCTACACAGCACCAAAAACGTCAAGACCCCGAACACAAAATAACAGGTCTGAAAAATACATAGCAGAATCAAACAGTACACAAATTGCAAAGCTTCAGTTACCTTCTCTCCAAACCCTATAATAACCTCAAATTTTAAACAGCGAATTACTAACTTTCTCTTCTGAGGTCGGACAAAAATAAATCCTAAGGCAGCTTATTTGCCATACTTAGGAGAGTCAGAGCGGAGCAATGACAAACATCTGGCTATGATTCTTTCTGGAATCTTGACTATTTCTCTCCGGCCAGGGAAGACAAACACTGAGCTGACCAAGAGCACCTCGACTGCTCTGCTTAGCAGGACTGTGCTGAGTGTGCTGAGAGGGAAACACTGTCCAAACCTCGGGACATCAGCACTGTCAGGCTGCTCCCTCGAGAGCTTCTGCAGCCCGAGCCCAGATCCTGGTGCCAGGCCCCCCACAGCTGGTCAGGAACAACCTGAGGGGGAACAGCCCCCGTGACACCTTTTCAGCTGTAGAGAACTGCAGAGACCACAGCAACCAGACACATCCTATTCCATCCTAACCACAGGGATGGAAAGCAGCTTTGCACATTTAATAACGCAGTTTATAAATTTAGATGAGCCAAGGAAGAGCCGTGTCAGTGGCCAGCAAAGACAGAATCAGACTCAGAGTAACCATCAGTGCCTGTTTCCAGCTTAGCATGGAATAAGCCACTTCAGTTTCGTAGCAAGGTAACAGTTTCACAGGGCACATGAATAAACAGCAAAGTCAACATAAGCAGTGACAAAACAATACTTAGTAAGAAAAGAAAGGAGGGGGAAACTGCAATCTTATCTAATTAGCCTGTCCCCAAGAACAGCAGTGGAGTGCAGCATCTCCCTGCCAGGAGTGGGACAGGGACACCTCACATGGAGCCGCAGGGAGGGGGAACATCATTTCTTCATGACATTCCCAAAGTTAAAACGAACAGACCTGTGTGCTGAAAACAACCCAGCAAAACCGGCAGGAAAGAAAAAATTCCAGCTGCAGTTTTCCCGCTGAGTGGAGCAGGCAGACCCGCCTGGACCTGCCAGGAACTGTGCTACGACTTCACAACGGCCATCACAGTTCTACCAAACTTGTTCTCCAACAGGGGAATACAGAGAAAAATTCCACTTTAATACAATGCAAAAGTATTTTCCACTCCCAAATTTTATTTGGCGTTCAAGCAGAGGGAGAAGAGGGAGCACATGCTACTGAAGAGGGGGCAAGTTTCCCACAACCTGGTAAACCTGAGGCATAATAATCTAAACTATTTTTCTGGGGCACTTCCTCATAGCAGAGAGGATGATTCATATGAGAGAATTTCCTGCAGAACCTATTTCCTACGTAAAGAAAAATATAGACCATTGAACATCACTCTGGTGAATTCCACCCAGTCCAGGCCCTTCTGCTGAAGAGTCTGCCATACTTCTGCGCTGATCAAAGCCCTCCAATCTCCAAAAAAAATCAGGAAAGCTGGCACAATTTCTACTGCAAAACTGGTGACTCTGAAGTGTGCTCACAGTCTGAATCAGACTGAGTTTTCCATTCTGTGAATCCACACTCTGGACCTTGCTTGGCAGGAAGGGTGCAGGTACCCCATGGCATGGCACACGCACCACCTGAAGTGACTACACGAGATGGTTGCAAAAAGGGGATAAAAAACAGCTCACAAAAATAATGCACATTGCAGCCTAGCTGCGAATGAGTATGTTTCACTCTCTTTTCTGGTTTGGGAGCGAAAGGAGAAACCGTAAGTAGCCCATTTTCAAGTTTTTTAAACTCCAGAAAACATCAAGCATTTCTCCACCCTTAACATTCAGATCAGATTCCCTGAAGAAGGCTCTGCCCCAGCAAACTTCAACCTGCATGGATTGAACTGCTCTTGTGGTCACTGTTTCTCTCATATGGTTAAAATCGCTGCCGTGGCCCATTTTAGGCAGCGAAGCATGAACAGGGCTGTGCATCAGCTCCCCAGCCATACTGCTCAGGGAAGGGCTTCTCCAGGAGCTGACCCTGTGCCCACTCTCTTCCACTGACACACCACTTTTCCCAGTAAAAACTCGTTTGCTATAGTTCTTACAGACAGAAGGGAAAATTATTTCAATAGGGGCAAGGAAAACAAAACCACATTTTGCCATCAGCTCCACCTCCCTGTGCAGGCAGTGCCAACTGCCCGTGGGAAAGGTCTGTGCCCCACTGCACTGACAAACTGTGCTGACCTGAATCACACAAACCCCCAGGGCACCACCTCTTCCACGCCCAGTGAACAAAGCTGCAAAAGCAACGAGGAGTGGGCAAGTGGCACCGCAAGCAGAGCCTCCAGTCCTCTGGGACAGCTGCTTGATCACCAGCTCCTCTTACTGCTTTCAACTGTGCTAGCTCTCAGCACCTACTCAGCAATGTGGCTGCCTTCCCCTAACTCTTGCCCTCAATCCCATTTTCCATCACAAGCAGCAGTCAGCAGCTCCTGCTACTCCATCAGCTCACCAAAGAAGTAGGAGGCAGAGGGGCACACTCAGTAACTCGAGCCTGTTTGCAATCAGGGCAGAGGAGGCAGTGTATTAGCAGGACTCTAATGCCACAGCTGCTGACTCTGGAGCACTTGGTGCTCCATGCTCTGGGACTGACCAAGGCTGACCCTCCTCACTGCTCACAGCACCAGGCACGAGCTCCCAGGTTGTTCAGTTCCCACTGAAGGTGCAAAGAACAGCACGACCACGGCCTCAGCACATTTGGGTGTCTCTGGGGATGCCACAGTCAGAGAGCTTTCCAGGTGAAAAAGCTCAGATTCCCAATTATGGGAAGCACAGCCAACAACACAGGCTGCTCAAGGCATTGTCCAGCCTGGCCTGACACTGATGGTTAAAACTACAGGGGTGGAAGTGTTGCTAGGGGTGCTATTTTTATTCTTTTTTAAATCAAAACACAACAGCACCAACCTCTACACCAACTTGGAAAAACATAAAATAACCCTTGAGAAGAACCAAAGTCAGCAGATTTAAAAACAAATTCTAACATAATTTAAAGGGGGAAAAAAGAGGCTTTTGTGTTCCATGCAGCACTTGAGGGATGGGTGGGTTTACAGTACCCTGTGTGCTCAGGTGGGAGGATAGAGGCACAGCCTCAAACTTAACAAAGCCAAGCAGATTTCATGTCCGAGAGAGGAACAGCTGGGCAGAATCTGTAGAAGATATCCCCAAAAGCCACTATTTCTCCAGGACTCCACAGGCATCTTTTTCACTCTACTTGGAAAAACTTGAGTCTATACAACAAACTAAGGCTACAAGTGCTAATTATAAAGTCAACCTGACACTAATGCAGGATATCTGATAGCTGAGTAGTTCCACTAGAACAGAGCTGTTTTCTGACAACAGATCTCACACAAGCCAGAATTAAAGCCTGAGGTTAATGCCGAGAATGGAACAAGAAATGGAAGAATAAAAATTTGCTTCACAGCAGAACTGCCCCAATTTATACGTGGTTTGTATGTCCTGTGGCTGTATTTAAAGTAAGCCTGGGGAAATCTATCTTCAGAACATTGCTTTGGTGTCTGCCTCCCAAAGTGTGGCAGCCAGCAAGGACTTTCAACTAGGAGCAAGTTTCCCTGAAGAGGATACAAGCCATTAAAATAATGAATAAAGAGCAGTAACTAAGGCAAAGCTCTTCTGCTCTCCCAGCTGCCAAACTGACAAAGCTGCATGAGGCTCAGGAAGCAAGAAGAGTTTGGCAGGAGACAGTTGGTGTTCCCTCAAAGCAAACAACAGCTAAAGCTGCTTGTTACAGTATGTGCTTGTATTTAAAGTCTGTTAAAAACACAAAACATCTGTTACACTCATACGATTTTTAAAAACAAGTCATGCAACTCATTTAACTACTTGTAAGTAGGTAAAAGCCCTACTGGAATCTTAGTCAGATGTCACCTCAGAACACCCCAGCTCTGTGCAGAGGCATATCCTGAGAGCTTGACATGAAATCAGGTTTCAGTCTCTCTTACCTCAATGTCAAGCACTTCCACCGTGTTGTCCAACATCTTGATTCTGACGGGCAGGTCGCGCTCGTGCACTTTGGCAGGCGACAGGGCCATGGCAGTGGAGAGGTTCTGCCCTGGCTCCAAAGTGCTCACTCCTGCAGTCTTCTGGGCACCCAAACGAGAGCCTGGGGTCTGCAGAACTCTGTACGTCCCCTCTATCTCTCCCATCTTCCAGCACCGAGCAGAGTCTAAAGTAACACAGAGCAAAACAAAGGATTACAGCCGGGAAGGTTTTCCACAGACATTCTGTATGAAGATACTACCACTGAAGCACTATCACAAAACCCTCCTTCAACATTCTTGATCCCATCTCGCAAAACCACTAATAAGGTTGATGAAACTCCAGTCAAAAATGGAAGTGTTCCAGGCCATGCTGGACAAGGCTTGGAGCAACCTGGTCTAGTGGAATATGCCCCTGTTCATGGCAGGGTGAGTGTTAGGAGCTGCAGTGACAGGACAAGGGGTAATGAGCACAAATTGAAGGAAGGAAAATTTAGGTTAGATGTTAGGCAGAAGTTTTCCCTGTGAGGGTAGTGAAGCACGGGCACAGGTTGCCCAGGGAGGCTGTGGCTGCCCCAACCCTGGCAGTGTTCACAGCCAGGTTGGATGAGCCTTGAGCAACCTGCTCTGGTGGGAGGTGTCCCTGCCCAGGGCAGGGGTTGGGGCTGGGTGATCTCTAAGGTCCTTTTCAGCCCCTAAAAATCAAAGATTCTGATTCTTCAGGTTTTTGTGGCCACACAACCAAGGAGAAAAATTTTCAGGCCATAAATTTAAAACCACTCCAGCAACACAATTCAGCAGAGAGAGGTGCCCAGGCTTCACCTCCAACTGCTAATCTGAAGAGAAATCAGAGTTCAGTATCATCTGTAATCCCTTGGTACTGCTGTCCCTTATCATGTAACAGCAGAGTAAGATTTTTGGTGCTGCCATTCAGGAGCTTATGAGCAGCTGGAGCTGCCCAGAATTGGTCATACTCCTCACGAGGCTGTTATTACCCACCCGCTCTTAAAATTAGTGCTCGGTGAGCACACTCATCCCCTTCTGAATAAACAGCTCCTGGAAGGGACAGACGCTGCAGTTACTCAAAAGGAAAAAAATGCAAGTGGCGACAGCCAAGGCAGCGCCCGGAGCAGTCCCGTGGCAGAGGCCTGAGCAGCCTCCCCTCCAGCTAGAGCCAGCTGCTTCCCGAGAGCAAGGCAGGCAGCCCACCCAAACCCAGAGCGAGGTGCTCCTGGGTGCTCTCACCAGCCTTGGTCACCAGCCAGGAGAGACCAAAGGCATGTCAAAGTCCTTCCCCACAGGTGGTAACAGGAAAAGTGAACTCAATGGGGCTTGGCCTTGCATCTTGCTGATGACATGTTCCTAAAAACATTTCCCCCAGCCAGCACAGACTCAGATTTTAAAGGCCTAACAAGCACCAGGCAGAAAATACTATGTGCAGATACAAGCACCATGCCTGAAGAGCAGTGTCCTGCCTGCTGTGGCAGCTGGGAGCATCTCCCCACTGGGGCACACTGCTAATGCCATCACAACTTTTAACAAGCCCCAAACAGCCTGGTCTGCTCCCACTGCCTCCAGCACCCGCCGTGTGGGAGTGTTAGCCAGACACTACTTCCATTTCACCACCAATCACACTCAGCATATCGTGCTGTATGTACACTGACTACATATAGCATTTCTTGACAAGAACCACTGTGCCATAGTTTGGGAAACACTTCAGTTCAAGGGGTGTGAGAGGAGCAGCAAGACTAAGGAGTGAAGCCTGAGACAGGCTGCAAGCACTGGGAAGACAGAGGTTCCACAAGCAGAGCAGCGTGTCATAGAATCATGGAATTTTAGGGGCTGGAATGGAGCTTAGATATCATCCAGCCTCAACCCCTGCCCTGGGCAGGGACACCTCCCACCAGAGCAGGCTGCTCAAGGCTCATCCAACCTGGCTGTGAACACTGCCAGGGTTGGGGCAGCCACAGCCTCCCTGGGCAACCTGTGCCAGTGTTTCACTACCCTCACAGGGAAAACTTCTGCCTAAAATCTAGCCTAAATTTGCCTTCCTTCAACTTGAACCCATTATCCCTGGTCCTGTCACTGCAGCTCCTAACACAGAGTCCCTCTGCAGCTTCCCTTAAGCCCCTTCAGCTCCTGGAAGATGCTCTGAGGTCTCCACACAACCTTCTCTTCTCCAGGCTCAACAGCCCCAACTCCCTCAGCCTGCTCCATTGCTCTTATCAACTTCGTGGCCTCCCCTGGACTTGCTCCAACAGTTCCATGTCCCACAGCACTGAGAGCTGCCAGCCCCGGGTGAGCCACAACATCTCATTTACCTCGTCAGCTACAAACACAATATTACCACAATATTAGCAGCTCCAAGATAAAAAAAATCTTCCTTCCCTCCCTCCATGTGCTTGCACCTTGTGTCCATCCTGGTAAGTTCCTATAAACTGAAGTACCAAAGCTAAATCAGCTCCCTGAAGCACACTGACTACATGACTCTCAGCCCCAAGGGAAGGGGCAGATAAAATAAACTGAAAATTCTACCTAGCTGCATATAAAATTTTGTCTATTTTTTTTAACTTTCTGCTTTTTGTTGCCTCTGAAATAGCTTTGAAGTGACGATGAATTTTATCTTTTGCCTGGATGGAATAAATTTATTTTTTAGAAGCAAGACAGCATTTCCAGCTAGCAGCAAATCTGGTAAGGCAACTTAGACCTGAGGATATGTGAGATCATAGAAGCACAGAACGGTTTGGGTTGGAAGGACCTAAAAGCTCATCTCATCCCACTCTGCCCTGGGCAGGGACACCTTCCACCAGCCCAGGGTGCTCCTAGCCCCATCCAGCCTGGCCTGGAGCACTCCACGGATGATACCACGAGTTTTCAAAGGACATCCTCTGAGCACAGTGTCTGTCGATGAGCCACAGAGTGGGTACAATGCTCCATCCTCAGCACAGCTGAGAGCAGCTGTGGAGTAAAGCCAAGGTCCAGTGTGAGAGGTGATCCCTGCCTGTCTCAGGGCGTTCCGACCCCTAAAACTGTGATCCCCTACCGTGCACTCTCAATCGGGTCCCTCCAGCCACCCCAAGCAGAGTCTCCTCTGTAAGAAACTCA